AGGACAAAAATGATAGGATGCTCTGGGGAGAATTGAACAAGAAGCTTGAACTCCTTAGAATAGAGCCTTTGACGGTCACACGGCCAACTCGAGGAAAGGACTCTAAGCATCAAAATCACTTGAGGCTACTTCGTGTAACACTCACTAATGCTACCGATGTAGAGGATGTCCTGCTACTAGTCACTTACTGAAATTCGATGAGAACGTAAAAATACTGCCTGGCCTACAGTATCCTGAGAGAATTCTCATCCCAAACATCCTTAAAGTTTTTCCGCGGAGGAAATATCATCGTGCAAGGTGTACCGGAAATCAAGGACCCTGGTCAAACAAACTCTGATATTAGGGAATGGAAGTTTATCAAGCAATCCTTGAAGCTCAAAAACATACTGACACAACATGTGACGAGACTACCCGAGAAGGGTGGAGATCTTAGATCCCGGCTAATGAATATAACCTTCCTATTCTTCCATATGGCGGCTGCAACTCTAAAAGACGTCGGTCGCCAGTTGGAATCCACATGCATCCGGATAGGCCACATGACGCCAGGATCAAGCATAAACGAAAGTTGGAGCTGACAATTCCACTTATGGACTGTCCCAATCATAAAAAAACGTGTACAGGACAGGGACTACCTATTCGGAGAACCTTACATAGGTAGCCTACCTGTCCATTGTCACGTAAGGCTCGTACAGACAAATAGGGAGAAGCTCATGCGTTTCAAACTGAATGCGTGACCTACTTATGCATGAACGCCGCGAGTACACTAAATAAAATGGATGAGCTATGTGAACTTAGCAACGCTAATAATCCTCATCTGATAGGAATATCTGAAACTTGAATATCTTCTCAGGTTACGGACCAGAAGCTATCAATACATCGGATGTCTTCCTTTCTCAACAACAAAAAAAAACAGGAATTGAGGGCAAAGTAGCTGTACATATCCGATCATGCCTTGAGGTATATCAAGTTCACAACCAAGAGAATATCAATCTCTATGAATCCACATGGTGCTCAGTAAGATTGTCTAACACCACAAGGCCTCTAGTTGCGATCATCTACAGGAAACCCACTACTAACATGGAGTATGACAATCGTATGCTGGAAGGATTAACCCACTCTACTTGTCTCGGATTCACTCATATCCTGACTCTAAGGGGCGTCAATCTTCCTAAAATCAATTTCGCGGAAAAAACGTACATCAGAGGTAAAAACTCAACTGAAGCTCTGTTCTTCAACCTCATGGAGGATCTGGGATTATTGGAAAACGTGAAGTCGGTAACTCGTTGGAGAAACAGTCAGATACCATCGCACTTAGACTGGATATTCAAAAGCGAATAATTTCTAGTCGAAAACCACTCAATCCCGATTTTTTAGGGAGAAGCGATCGCGCCGTTATAGCCTCCAGTTTTGCCGCCAAAGTGAGTGAGCCAAGATATCCCCCCCTAAAAACAGGCTCTGGAATTTAAAACGGTTGAATTTGTCAGCTATACAGGACCATCTACAACAGGTGGACTGGGATGTTCACCCTCAACTTGACGTGGATGCTCATTGGGATTTTTTTACTGCACACTTTCTTATATGCCACCAAGCATTCAGTTCTTCAAACAGTCCTCAAAAGCTACAAGCAACCTACAATAATCAAGAGCCGCACTCTTCGTTTGCTAAGCCGCGAAAGACACTGTCGGGCAGAATATAAACGAACTGATAACAGCGGCGCATACAGGCATTAAAAACATATAAGGAACATATGCACAAAGGCAATAAAAGGAGAGGCTTTAGTACCAAACCAAGCTTAACGATAAGTTTGTCTCCAATTCGAAAAGCTTATTCCGTTATGCAGCTTCACTTCGACAAGCCAAAACTGGAATTTCACAACTGCTAGGTCCTAATGGTTCGACCGATAACGACGAGGATACTGCTAACCTTTTGGCTGAACAATATTCTCGGACATTTCAACCGACCGACATCAGCTATACTGATGAAAGCTTCATCTGCAACTGCAAAGGACTTTCCGAAGTGGACCTGAGCGCTGGCTTGGCGTTCGGAAAACCGCAACACCTAAGAAAAGACGCTTCTCCTGGTGCGGATTTGGTCCATTCTGCTATACTGAAGGAAGCAGCTTCAATCCTGGCAACACCACTTAGAGTGATGTTCTCACACTCTGTAAGTCGAGCCAAACTACCGTAAAATTGGGAGCTGGCTCACATCAAACCAATTTTCAAAGGAGTTCGACGCAGCGAACCTTCAATTTACCGACCGGTGGCTCTTCTTTCTATACCTTCCGAAATTATGGACTAGCTGATATGCGATGGTATACACGACTACTTATCATCCTTAAACTTCTCGCCCCAGCAGCATGGTTCTAGGAAGGCTCACTCTTGTATAATCAACCTGCTGACTGAGGTGGACAGATAGACATGCATTCTTGATAGGAAGGGGAAGGTTCGTCATTCACCTTGACTTCTCAAAAGGTTTTGATAGGGTCAATCATATACGTCTTATCAATAAGCTCAAATGATTGGGTATCAAACCACCTCTAATCGACTGGCTCACTTCATATCTAAAAAATCTACATTTTAAGGTCAGGGTTAATTTCACTTTCACTCAGGCTATGGAATGTCCAAGTAAGGTCCCCCAGGGCCCATTACTAAGACTTCTTCTCTCCTTGATCAATATAAACGATCCTCCAGAACAGGTATCGTCAGACTTATTACTTTTTGCTGACGACGTTAAACTTCGGATAGAGGTAGGCAACCAAGAGGATATACTGGCACTTCAGGAGGATCTGACTCGACTTCAAAGTTGGGCAGATGACAACAGACTTACCTCTAACACTTCAAAGTGTAAAGTAATCCGTCTGTGACATGCTGCAGACTACAATTACAACTTAAGAAACTCCTCTCTTGAAGTATCTGAAGTTAAAAAAAGGTTTAGGAGTGTTGGTGCCCTACGACTTGAAATCGTACGTTAACTGTGACAAAAACGCATTTCAAGCAAACCTTGCACTGGTGATATTGAAGCGCATTTTTGGTTAGTTTGACGGTAGAATTTTACAGATAATCTTCAAGTTTCATTCGTCTCCATTTAGAGTACGGAAACATAGAATTTCCTCTCTCCCTACAAAAGTATAAGGACACTCTGAAGAGTATCCAACGTCGAGTCACGAAATCAGTTCGGGGACTGAAATTCAAACCTTATTGAGAGCGCCTTCAATCACTTAATACACTCACTTAAGCTTAGTACCCATACAAACATAGGGGGCAACACCCAGAAACTGGAGACCTAAAATAGTAGAAAGGACTGTAGATACAAATTCTTTCCTCAAGAGTTTTCAATTACTGGAATTATCTGCCGACTGAGCTATTCCACGCGACTTCCCAGGAGTCTTTTAAAAGGAAACTTGACCTACTCTTAAGGACTAAGGATAACATCTTATAGTGATTTACCAATTTCTTTTTTTCCTCTGTTATCGTTAATATAAATAGGTCCCTTACTGAAGGTATCGGTGATCCACTGCTACTAGACACGGATGCCCGTTGAGCGAAAGCTTCATCTATTCCGTCCACAACCATTTGAACCATTTGAACATTGTAGGGTCACATTTAGGACATTTCAAGGTCGTTCCTGAAGTCCGGTTTAGTCTTTTCTTAGAAATATTACATGAACAACAGTGAAATGCATCCTCAGTTGTTTTTTTGGAAAAATAAGTTTTCTTCCCGTCCAGTTAATTGAACTCTTTAGGGCGGCAGAATCAGGGTCGATTTTAGCTGAAGGTTGTTTTAGTGGTCTATACTTTTCTCTAACACGTATGAGAATTCTGATTTTATTTGATTCCGTTGTATTTTTTGTGGGTCTCCGGAGTTCCCCATCCGTGCAAGTTCTTAAGAACCTTTCTAATCTGTGTTAGACTTTTATTTCGAGGGAAGCGATATATTTCTTGAGTATTATTATTAGAAAACTGGGTAATCTCACCATGAATTTCACTTGCAGTGATATCCATATCAACTTATTGAAATGTTTTACAACAAGTGAAGTGAAGGCGTTTGGTTGCTGAATATAATTACGATTATATGTAACAATTTATTGTTATCGTACTTGTTTATTTTACGGTTAGCGTTTTCGTGTCATAGTTTTATTTTAAGATTTTCAATTGTTGGTAGATAGTTACCACGTCTTGAGCAAACGGTCACTTAGGCGCCTCAAGCAAGTGTTTTGTGGTCCTTGGCTGAAATGTTTGGAATTTGTAATCACTAGACATATATTTGCGTAAAATTGATGTTAAGAGTTTAATTTTATATCTGTGTATAAATAAGGGACAGATGTATTTGTGCTATGTAACGATCAGGACATGTTTATTGTAATGTAGCGTCTATAAGACCGCATGTCTTAGATGTGGTGGTGTAGTTTACTAGCAATCAAAAGGTATTGCACGTCGCGATTATTGAAAATAACCCAAATCCATAAATGTATTTCAAATACTTCAACCTTGCCATTAAGCCAATCGACTAAATGCTTTAATAAAATGGGTTTTGTTAACATACCAAAGAATAACTTAAGTATTGACATAGGAAGGATTTTGACTGGCAAATTAAACTATATTGGTGACGTAAAATGTTCAATGGTGGACTGATATAGTGGTTAGGATTAGAGAATTTTTGTTGCGAAAGGATTTTTTCGGCGACGCATTATGACACAATAACTATTTATGCATTTCCGACCAGTATTTTGAATTTCCATTTTTCGTTGCTAAACAACGTTAGTTTATCTTCATCCAGGAGATTTGTGACATAGTTAGGTAGAGAAGTGCCGCCTTTGATTTGATCATTTATTGGCAGTATTAATTGTTGAATCCATTAGTAATTACCCAAACCCATGAGTTTTTCCATACCACTGTATTGTATTAAACGTTTAGAGAATCTTTTTACATAGATGTCCGCCTTTCGAAGAATAAGCAAAAGGCTTGTTTTGATTGGAGCAATATCTGGCGTCGGTGCTACAATTTTAATGGAAGTTATCCCTAGAGTTAATGAAGCCAGAAGGACGAAGGTGAAGTACTTATTATAACAGTAATGATTATTTACTATTCATTGATTAATTACTAAGTAAACAAATCATTGCTTGTACTAAAATGTTAGTATTTGTTTAGAAATGAGATTGAGTGTTTATAAGTACAAAAATTCAATGTGTTTATGTATAAATCACCGAGTAGCAATCGATGTAATGTTTTGTCTAGTCGTAATTATCAATATAATCCTTTTAATCAAATTTAGGTGACTGAATATCGCACTATCTGTTTGGAAGTAAAATGATTAGAGGCGAGTAACCAGGGCATTGATCTAATTTTCTTACTGGTAGGTGCTCATGATTCACCTGTGCTTCAAGCCAATAATTCCTAACTCCGAGCTCGATAGCAGTGGGTGGGACTGCTTTTCATTGTCTTCTGTCGGCTAACTAGAGATTGGAGTACAAGCCTTTCAAAACGATTGGTAGAAAGAAACTGAAAACATTAAAAATTATTCAAATACGTTCATTTATACACAAGTTTAATTGAATTGATTACTAGTTAAAGAATTTGTCAAACTTAACAAATATCAGTTGGATATTAAACTGAGTAAATGTCAACTTGACGAAAAATAACACCAGGTCAATTAACGCAATAGAAGTGTTTTGAAAGTCAATTGAACGAAAATCACTTTTGCATCAATGACCCATCAGAAAGGTGTACCTGGAATCCTCAGTAACTGGTACTCCTTGTGCAATATGAACCAGCATCATTGTATTTATTTTTATTTATTTAGACACGAAAACATTGGCACAAGGAGACATCAAATATGTGTGCGTCACACTTCGCCATTCAATTTGTGTAAGGGCTGGAATACCGCACGGATACCCAGATTAAAGTAGCTGGTTCTCTTAATAGGCCACTCCCCGAACTTTTGACCTAGAAGTCTAATCCACAAGGCAGTGGAGGAACGTATGGAGACACAGTCCCATGATGACTGGTGACCAACGATAGGTTCATACCTACCAGCCCGGTTAAAGTGCCGGACATTCGCTTTTTGTCCTATCGATTTAGTAAAAAAACACCCCACCACGAGAAGGCAGTGAGTAGGACTTCCCTGTTAGTGGCTGTATGCGTATGGTCATGTGGGACGATTTCGAGAGAGAAAGCGAGCTCTCCCCACCCTTTACCATATGAGGGCATTTGGGGGCATTTATTACGTATTACCACTAAGATTATTAAGCTACACCTGACCTCACCATCTTGCACCAAAATGTATTGGCTGTGGTGCCGAGATAGTTATACTAATGATCATATTGCATGTAATTCTGTGTATTATTAGATCAACACTAAGAACATTCTACTAATTACCATTCGGTGTCCCAATTTAGTCACTTGTTGCTATTAATCAATCATAGTTAACACTCAAGAATTGATGCGGTTTTCCTCTAATATTTAATTTCACGTGAATTTGGGCTTACTATTAATTTGGATCTACTATACATTTCGTTAAAGTAATTTATTTTGGACTTCAAAATGTTTAATTGAGTGGTAAAGGTTTTATCTTTCCAATTATTGTTTCCTTTATTACCGTCACAATTTGAGCTTTCTGAAAACCTAAGATCGTGTAGACAATCTTGTTCTCTACATCACCGAGCGTAAACTCGTGTTTTAGATGTCTGCAAAGTCATATCACAACAATTTGTCGGGACTTATTTTTTAGACTTCTGATGTACTACCGTTAGTTCAGGAACGCGACGTTTTATTGTTGGTTGAATTAGTCACCTGAAATCTAAATGCTACAATCTATTTAGGAAACGTGTGGAAAACCGACTACAAAAGGACGATGGATGTGGTAGGTTTGTTCCTGGTTATGTCTTCTAACTCCTCAATTCAATTCCAAATGTTCTATTCTGTATGTCTTATCACTATAAGATTTTAGTTCTGGCCAAAGCTTGTTGTGAGTTTTTTAGTAACTGTGTATTTTGACTTTCGAACAAAGCAGAAAATATAGGAAGTCTTGTGTAAATGTGATTTTAGGCAATCATCCCATAGTTTTTATTTATTATCATTGAATCTTCATTTTAAGTGTTCATAACATCATTTTAAACTGTATAGCTTAGTAAGCAGAAATGGATAGTGGCTAGCAGTGGAATCCAGGATGCGCGTTTCGTCCTATTTGGGACTTGTCAGCTGGATTTACCTGCATCTCAGAGTTGATGTTCACTCTGGGACTCGAACCCAGTACCCTCGCTTCAAACGCCATCGCGTTATCCACTCGGCCACTGAGTCCTGATAGCCACTTGCTTGTGCGATGGGGTGAAGTTTAAATTCATTTAGTATAGTTTGTTTGAATCTTCCCATCGATTTGTTGGGACTGCAACTGGTCAGTGTCTAATTGGCATATGTGCATACTGTGCGTATTGCCTCGATATACCTTAATTCACAAGCATGGTAAGCAGAGATGGATAGTGGCTAGCCTCGTTTGAAGCGAGGGTACTGGGTTCGAGTCCCAAAGTGAACATCAACTGTGAGATGCAGGTACATCCAGCTGACGAGTTCCAAATAGGACGAAACGTGCGTCCTGGATTCCATTGCTAGGCACCATCAACCTTTGCTTATAATGCTTGTGACTTAAGGCAATCTGCACAGAGTGCACATATTTCAATAAGGGACTGACCAGTTGCAGTCCTAACACATCGATGGGAAGATTCAAACAAACTATACTAAATGAATGTATAGCTTAGTGTTTCTGATATTATATACTTGCCAAGTTTGTAATAAAAACTAGCAAATATGCAGATCACTCATTTGAGAACATTTTAATGCAATTAACAGTTTCTAATTCATCATTCTGGAAAATTTAAATACGTAAATAGAAACAAGCCAGGGCTTGTCATAATAATTTATCTGCTGATTCTGTCATACTTCTACTCAGCGGTCATTTATTATACTGATATTTTATGCCGTTACTGTCTATCTAACCTATAGTTCATAAAAGGTGATATATATATATATATATATATATATATATGTTCGGAGGTGCTAACAATGTTTGCGATTCTAGAAACAATCAGACTCCAGTGCAGTCATGGGTTATCTTCGTTTAAACTCTTCTCCAGTTCTCAGCGGTCGTCGATGATTGTATTAGTTAAATCACACTTCTTTACAGACGCTTGACAAGAGAATAAGTATTACATCATTTTCATTCTGAAATATTGGCCGTTCTCGTAGATAATCTGAAATATTTGATGCTTTTTGTTCTTGATAGTCTACTTATTTCCTTAAAACACAGTCTTGAAAAAAATAAACGAAGCAATTCAGTGACTGATCACGCTTCATCGTAGATTCTTATCTGATATTTCACCATTGGTTTCGCCTTTTTATGTGATCAAGCAACCGCTAATCACACTATTCAATAAGCCTTTATTCTCATCACTACATTTTATACTTACAGGCTTTACTATCGAGACCTAAACCTTCAGAACAGGAGTTTAAACGTTTTGAACGACCTTTGCCAACTAGAGATGAACACCTTAAACGAATGGCATCAGGTGAACTTTTCGATGTCTTAGTAATTGGTGGTGGGGCAACTGGTGCTGGTGTTGCGTTAGATGCTGCATCTAGAGGTAGGTTGAAAAAGTGAATAATTTCAACCATTTGCTAAAATCCTTGTCACTACATTTATTAACGTAAACAAATATAATAATTTTTTGTCTCAAGGTTTACCTTTACTTATTCAAGGTACTAAGAGAATTTCTAAATCTTAAACTGTTTAGATGACTGATCGAGTTTGTCGCATTGATAAATAATTTCAAATTTAGCTATCTCAATCTTCAAAGATGTGGGTACAGTCTTCTTATTAATAGAAATCAGTAATTTGAAAATTTGGGTATATTTCAAACGGAGAAGAAATAACATACTTTTGGAAATAAATTCTAGTTCCTATCATGAGTAATGACGTAATATACCACATTTTATTTATTTATTTGAACACATAAACATTAGTACAATGAGTCCAGTAGCAGTTATCATTGATTTGTGTCAGGACTGTGATACTGCCCGGATGCCCACAAAATGGGTGTGAACGTAAGTGATCTCGAGAGGTTGTTAAAAAACTAAAGTCGGTGGATTAGAATTTGAAGATGAGACTTAGCAGTTAGAAAAGGAAGGACAGAAGAATTTTGTTGTACTGTTCATGGAAAATACAGTGAAGTGTAAGTAATAACTAGATCAAGAAGTTAACCATTTATTTAAGATATAGCAATTTCAACTTCATTGACTACAAGAAAGCATTTGATAGCGTGGTCAGGGAGCACCAGGTATATATGCGCCGCATAAAAAATTGTTATTTCATTCAATTGTGTGAGGGTTATGATACTACCCGGGTGCCAAGACCCTTGAACAAAAGGTCTGACCCACAAGGCAGTGGAGCATCGTAAGGAGATGCAGTCCCATGGTAGCCGATGGCCAATGATTGGTTCATACGCCATTTACTCCTTCAGGATACTGGAGTCCATATGCACCATTGGATTGGAATCAGGGTTTTCCAACTCCCCTAGGTGGACTTTCCGTGTCCACCAACCCGGTTAAGACCCCGGACATCCCCTTTACGTCTGATCAATTTCGTAAACAACATCCCCTCCACAAAAGGCAGTGAGCAGGACTTCCCTGGCAAAGGCTGTGTACGCGTGGACGTGTGAGAGCATTTCAAGAGAGAGGGCGGGCCCTCCCCACTCTCGGCCGCACCGTGGCATTTGAGGGCCAGTGTAGACAGTACAACACCATGGAAACTTCTTCGACACTACGGCATGCCTGAGAAGATTGTCAATATCATACGGAATTCTTATGATGGTTTAAACCTCAGAATCATGCATGGAGGACAGCCCACTCGCTCGTTCGAAGTAAAGACCGGTGTCAGTCAAGGTTGCTTACTCACTCTTTCTCTTTCTCCTGGTGATCGACTGAATTATGAAGACGTCAACATCTGGAGGGAAGCACAGGATACAATGGACAGCTAGGATGCAGCTGGACGATCTAGACTTCGCAGATGGTCTGGCTCTTCTATCACATCATCAGCATCATTGATGAGCACGGTGGATCAGATGCAGATGTGAAGACGAGGATCGGCAAAGCAAGAGCAGCATATTCACTACAACTGAAGAACATCTGGAACTCAAAACAATTGTCAACCAACATCAAGATCAGAACTTTCAATACAAATGTCAAGACAGTTCTACTGTATGTGGCGGAGACGTGGAGAACTACGAAAGCCATCATCCAGAAGATACAGGTGTTTATTAACAGTTGTCTACGCAAGATACTTCGTATCCGTTGGTCAGACACTATCAGCAACAAGTTACTGTGGGAGAGAACAAACCAGATTTCAGCGGAGGAAGAAATCAGGAAGAAGCGCTGGAAATCGATCGAACACACATCGACTACTTCATCTCTGTGCTAATGTGCTATGGCAACTCGAACTGATGTACGTACGTACGAAGTTCTACGTCGTAACTGACTGAGTGAGAAGACACATTGAGGAAATCACCCAAATGCGTCGCAAGGCAAGCCCTCACACGAAATCCTCAAGGTCAAAGGAAAAGAGGAAGACCAAAGAACACGTTGCGCCGAGAAATGGAGACAGACATGAGAAGAATGAACAAAAACTGGATAGAACTAGAAAAGAAGGTCCAGGACAGAGTGGGTTGGAGAATGATGGTCGGCGGCCTATGCTCCATTGGGAGTAACAGGCGTAAGCAAGAAAGTAAGTAATGCAAGCGGTTATCGTTCCAGAAGGGATCTTAGCCCTTTTAATATAATCTGATTACTTTTGCGACCGCCTTAGCACAAATTTGTTCACACTTTCTTCAAATTGATCGTGAAAAACTGTTTAATTCTTTCTTTATATATACATTTGGAGTTTTTGCATAGGTAAGTGGGAAATAAAAAAAGAATTATTTAAATTCATTCATGTTTAGGCGAATAAATAAATGTTTTTGTTTTCCTCATATAAACACCTTCAATCAATTATTGCTTTGTAAGCACTGATTTTCTCTTCATTCTTTTTTTTGCTTAAAGGTTTATCAACATGCCTTATTGAAAGATTAGATTTTGCTTCGGGTACCTCTTCTCGTTCAACCAAACTTATTCATGGTGGTGTTCGATACCTACAAAAGGCTATATTTAATTTAGACATTGAACAGTTTCGTATGGTTAATGAGGCACTTAGTGAACGTTCTAATCTAATCGATATAGCTCCACATTTAGCCTATCCATTACCAATCATGTTGCCCATATATAAGTAAGTTTATATAGATTTTTCTAGTCAGTTTTTGTCATTTAAGACTAACTAAAATTGGAGATTTAAACCATTGATTAGCAACACAGGGTTCCAGATATAATACGCTCGTTTCTAGGTTCGAATTTATTGATTTTGAGACATGACAAGGTCATGGGTACGCATTGTTGAGAAGTCCCGTTTTAGGATGAAACGGCTGTTCATTGTAGGCAATATTTATCACGGATTGATCTCAATAGGGGTACATTAAAAAGACAAGGATATTGGACAGCTATTTCATCCCCCCACTGGACTCCTCAGGAATGCGAACCCACAACCAAGAGTCCCAACTAAACGAACACATTTGCGCGAACTTTTTTTGTACATATGGGTTCAGTTCTCTGGGGTGGATGTCAATACCTTCAGTCATATGCAATGAGCATATTGGTTGAACATACAGCAAACTAGACAGATCACTTAGAAGTCTGTAGCCAACTTAATTTTCACAATTATTATAAATATAAGTGATAGATCTAACCAAAATTGCCATCACAGACACTGTAATTTGAACTACTCGTTTTTTCTCATTCTTTATTAATCGACTCAACACAGCTCTTGGTATTCATAGTGATCCTGGAATTCAGTACTAACTGTGCAGTTAATTTTTCACGTTTAGTGTTGTCATTGTTGCCATATTGTTCTTTTTTTTCATTGTCAATTCTGTAGATGGTGGCAAGTTCCGTATTATTGGGCTGGTATTAAAATGTATGACTTAATATCTGGTGCTCAAATATTGAAAGCTAGTTATTATCTTAATAAATCACAGGCATTAGAACGATTTCCTTTATTAAAACGTGATAAACTAGTCGGTGGATTAGTATATTATGATGGTAAGTTAGTTTCCAAAATTCATAATTTAATACTGTGTTTTCCTTCCACAGATACATCTTTCAGATTGTTTTATATTTTTATGTATTTGTTGTATTTTATCTCTTAAAATCATAAACAATGTTCATCATTGAGATCTATCAGGTTTGGATTTATCTCATCTATACTCTTTAAAAAAATTTAAACCATCCATTCATTCTTTTTATTGTTATACTCCTGGGTAACTTTTATCTATTAATTGTTTTACAACGATTGGTTTTTACTTTTTGTAAAGGTTGTTTTTCATCACGAACTAACTTCACACATAGAACTAATGAAAATGAGGGAGGACTTTATTACAATTTCTTTCTAGTTTGTTACTCTTTGCTAGTAAGCTCCCATGACTACGCAAAAAATTTAGATCTGTATCCAATGGGTATCATGGTAAGTGAAATGCCGTTAGCATTGGTTGGTCGTCAGTCTGTACCACAAACTGACTGAATTTGAAATTGTAGCACGATGCAAACCAAGTGATTCTCGTGGTTAGGCATTCACCCTTGGACCTGAAGTTCTTAGAGTAGAAGATCACTGGTGGGACTGTGAGTGCCCATGGACATGGATTCTGATTCCTGGTGGTACCCAACCTCAGATCAATCTGTGATGAATGTTACTTTGAAATTAAGCCAATCTCCACTATCTTCAAATAAAAAATAGTTTACTTTCTTATTCCTGATTCGGTTAATTAAAAAAAGTTGTTGTTTGCTATTGTAGAATTTCTAAAAGTCTATCGACAATTTTTTATAGTATGGATATAGTTAGCTCAAATCAGTTTCTGGTGGAAACTGTTTAGGTTTAACTAATCTTTGCTAAGAGTTTATTTTAGATTTTACGCATATAAATGATTGATTACCCTGGAAAATAATCATGTGTATTGGTTGTGCATTATTTGCCGACGCTGGGACTGTTTAAAAAAAGCGGAGAGGTGGTCAGTGCACGACATGTCGTGGTATGAAAGAAAGCTATACAGGGATGGCTTCTGTTGGTCCTTCACGATTCACCAATAGAGATCCTAGATATGGTGCAACACAGTGGCGATCCTGCTATATCTTTCTTCGCATTTCATAAAAGTGAACGTAACTTCTTAAACTGAAGGAATTCTTTCTGGTTGTATTTTAGCTAACTGAACTGTTTCCCCCATTTATTATTATTTCATTCTCACACACTAATTTCTGTTCGTTGTTTTTCTTTTCATTATACACACTTTACATTCTCTTTCTCTTCACAACCTCATTGATATTGTGCGGCTCATATGTATTTGGTGCCCTCTTGTACGAATGTTTATGTCTTCAAATAATTAATAATAATACCGGTCTAGGACGAATATAGTTTTTCTAGTACTCTGGTTGTAAACAATCCTTCAATAGACATCATTTCGTGGTGAATTTTTATCACCTTTACATTATGCAAAGTCATCTTAACTATTTCTGTTCATGACCCGAGAAGCATTTTTGTCCTGGGTGGTTGAAAATAATTCACAGGAAACCCTGAACCTAGGTTTCTTTACTGTTTGGCACCCGTAAGATGTACCTGTAACCCTAAAGGAACTAACGTCTAACGAACTCAATCCCCCTTCACCCGACTTAATAGTCAGAAACGTTAGAAATAAGCTACTCAGGTCTCAACTGTGATGTATTTACAATGTATTGCACACAATATTGAGTCACTTTGAATAATGGTCACGTTTGAACTTGATCTATGGAACTCAATCAGTACTAAGAAGTACTTAACAAACAAAGCAATTTTAGCTGAATAAAATGTATTATTTTTCTTTTACTAGTTTCTCGTAATCATTATGTACTGAAAGTCTTTGTCTTAATCATCGGATAAGAGACTTGATATGTCCCTCTGTTCGACCTTGGGCTGGCTAAGAAAATAACCAGAACTCTTTTTTATTTGAAATCCTAAGGAAAACAATGCCCAGCATGTAATTCTAACTTAAGTTGATCAATGTTGTAATCAGAGATATTTCCACTGAGCTATTTACACTGTGACTGACATTCTGCAAGACTGAAATGTCTGCAAATTATTTGATTACTTCGTAATGTTATATATCTTGTTATTACTGATTTAATTCTGTCGATAAACGTGGAATATAATCACTATTCTAAATTATATGAAATAACAGTGCACTTTATTCGATTATAGATGGTTGAAAAGAGTTGGTAGAAGGGTTGAGAAAGTTACTAATGTCTTCTCTGACCGTGCCACTTATTAAGACGTGTGTTAATCTTATAAAGAGGATTGTTCCCCTTAGGACTGCAGATAATCCTTTCTTACGCGTGTTAGGGAATACAAAATCAACGTTTTATGACTCATCAATGATTATTTTCAACCATTTAATACCAGTTTTGTTGTAAATTATGAGTTTACGTGTTTAGTTATGAGAGTTAACTGTAAAGCCCTTAATAATAACTTTGGTTTTCGTTCCTGTCTGAACACTATCATTTAGGGAGTTGTCATTCACTAATTGTTGCTAACCCGGCATAGTTATTTTTCATTCTATTGGATTTTTTTTAAAGCAAACTAACTGTATTTTTGATTCTTTCAGCTAATTGTTTTTATTTACTTTAAATTTTCTGAAATGTCCTTATCTTTATTTTGAAGTGGCATGAATTATTTGTTTTATTACGTAGAATATAAAATTACCAGATTGCCTGGATTTTCAAATATCTCCACTTGAAGTAATGTTTCTTTTTAAATTTGCTGATACTTTTAATCAGCGTTACCATATCAACTTCACGTGTGCTTCTATTAATGTACTAATTTCTTGGGAAGTCATTAATCTCGGTTCATGACGTAGAAGGTAATATCTCATGTTTATTTGTCAAAAGTATTTCATTTCATGCCTACAATCATCTAACCTAAACCTTAAACACTCGTTATTCTTTTCGTAACCTATCCATATATATGCGTATATAAATAATCTATGTAGTAAACTTTCAATACGTTTTCGATAATAAAGGATGCGATTATTGGCAAAATTATCTTTGTTTTCTATATTTTCTTTAACAAGTAATGCATCTAAGCATAAATACGTAGTAAATATTATCATTTTAAGGTGGAGAAAAACAAACTTCTGACCCCATTGGAAACTGTGAATAACTGCTTATTTGTTGTTGTGAATAATAAGTTTTTCACCTGGTTAGGAGGGGACTCTAGAGCTAGTATAAATCGAGGATTAAGGATCATAGATTCGAAATATCATCACTTTTTATCTATACCCATTTTCTACATCCATTTTACAACGTATATTTATGTTAAGAAAGGCAATTATTTGATCCAACATATTATTACATCAACGTTCAACTACCCATCTAAATAATTGCATATTTTCTTTTTTACTTATTCACAGCTATTATTTTTTTTAAGATCCAGCTTCTGATCTTATTATTTCTTTAAACTCCTCTTTTTCTCATTAACCTAGGTCAACAAGAGGATGCTCGTATGTGCTTAAGTATTGCATTAACTGCGGCTCGTTATGATGCTGCGATTGCTAATTATGTTGAAGCTGTTGAAATAATTAAACAACCATCTCGAACTAAATCAATTTCTTTGAAATCAACATTGGAAACAACATCTGAACCAGTACCTACAGTATCCGGTGCACGTGTTCGAGATAGATTAACTGGTAAAGAATTCACAATCAATGCTCGTTGTGTGATTAATGCAACTGGACCATTTACAGATAGTATACGACAAATGGATAATAAAGAACAACCTACTATTTGTCAACCTAGCTTAGGTGTTCATATTATTCTTCCTGGTTATTATAGGTAATGACATTTTTATTTTGGGATAATAATAATTCATTTTGTGTTGTTTGTTTGAATCTTCCCATTGATGTTTAGGACTGCAATTGATCTGTCTCTTATTGGCATATATGCATACTGTGCGTATTGTCTCGATATTGCCTTAAGTCAAAAGCATTGTAAACAAAGATGGATGGTGGCTAGCAGCGAAATCCGGGACGCGCGTTTCATCCTATTCGGAACCCCGTTGCACAAGCAAGTGGCTATCAGGACTTAGTAGATAAATGGATAACAGGATGGCGTTTGAAGAGAACGGTACTGGATTCGACTCCCGGAGTGGAAGTCAACTCTGGGACGCTGACGAATCCCGAATACGACGAAACACGCGTCCTAGGTTCCACTGCTAGCCACCATCCATCTTTGCTAATAATAATAATCATACCTATAACAATAATATTTATAATAATTTATTTTGATGCTTCATGCTATTTCAGAAAAAATCAGTCTCTGATGATAATTGATTGGTAGTGTTTTCGTATGTATTTATGATTACATTAGTGTTGTGACATATGCCTGTTTATGTTCGAATTAAGAAATCTCTATATTCTTTCTAAATAGTTACACACCCCATATTGTTTGCTTTGATGAAAAGAACAGTAAATCACAAGAGTCTCACATAGTTTTCACTATCATTTTTAACTCTCTAATTATTTATCCGATCTCTCTTTTGTTTTTAATGTTAGGAATGTTTAATATAATCTCTACTTTTTATTACTGTATGTAACAATTTATTTTCTTGATACGAAAGATTTCTTCAGGTTTCAGATTATTTGAATTGGTCTGTATAGTTTGTGAGTACTGTTTTTGATTTATGATTTTAAAGATTCCCAAACAGTTAAAAAATCACATATAGATCTTTAGATATTACCACTCTTTTTGCAGCTTCCTACACACAGATAATAAAAACCGTAATTGATCTTTGGTTTGTTTGAAGTGACATTCGAAACTTATTGAAGTATTAGAGTTATTTCAGTCTAATAGGAAACTTGAATGTAAAATTAAATTGGTTCATTATTATTTTCTAATTTATTAGGTGCAATATATTCTGTGTAAGTAGGATTTGTAGTGGGATTTTTAATTTAACCAGAAGTTAGTGTTACTACTCTCCATTTTTTGATGTAGTTTACTTTCCCCATTTTTGCGTGTATGAGCGGCTAGTCAGACATTGACAATCTAGGACCTGGAACAACTGTGCTTACCACATCTCTGATCAATGTGGCAAGAGGGAATTAATAAGATGGAGAAACAAGGTGGAAATTTTGATAACATCTTTTGTATCTATATTTCAAAATGACTGGAATTGGAGAATAAAACATACATATTGAGATGAAAACCTTAATAATTTATTTATAAACGTTCGGTTTTCATGTGAAAACTGTGTATTGCTTATAAACGTATTTTAAAGTAATTAGTCCCTTTGATAAATTTCGATAGCGTAATAAGAAGACGAAGATTATCCGAACTATGTGATATATTAGCTCAATACATTTCGAACAATCTGATCACATATATACTTGTTAAAAACATTTATATATATATAAATAAAAGGTCAACTAGACTAGAAATGGAGGGTAAGAGCAGACAAGGATGATAAATAATGTGAAAACAATTTTAATCCTTATCACTTTGGATAATAAACGAATATTACCAGGGTAGATTTAAGGTGAGAACAAACTGTTTTTGAATACGCAAAGGGGGTTTGAATTTTCGTATGGCTAAAACTCCAATAAACTTTAGTATACGCCCTTTTACACTTTTGTATAACACCACAAAAGCCTAGTTGAGATCAATCTTATGACCTAAATTCCCTTAGAATTGTTTACTTGAATGTTCCCATTGATGTTTAGCACTGCAATTGATCAGTGTGTTATTGGCATATGTGCATACTGTGCGAATTGTTTCAATATTGTCTTAAGGTAACAAGCTTTATAAGCAAAGATGTATGGTGACTATCAGTGGAATCCAGGACGCGCGTCTCGTCTAAGAATGAACATCAATTCTGAGATGCAGGTACATCCAGCTGACGAATCCCAAATAGGACATTATTTATTTATTATCCTTGTCTCCTCTTACCCTCCATTTCTAGTCTAGTTGACCTTTTATTTATATATATAAATGTTTTTAACAAGTATATATGTGATCAGATTGTTCGAAATGTATTGAGCTAATATATCACATAGTTCGGACAATCTTCATCATCTTATAATCGTATTGCTTTTTTAACCATAAATTGTTTCTTAATTAAATACTGTTTTCTTGTTGGTTGCAAAGTAATTCGTGATCGTCTATACACTTTATTTTCAATGATTTTTTTAAAGGGGAATGAATCATCATTTCAACTTACGATTATCTTAAAATTTCCTCGTCCAACTAATTTCCAATGATCATTTGTACTATCTGCTTTTATCCCACTATATTTAATTTTCTAAAATTACACTCTTACCATCAAATGTCATATGATCTATCACTGTCACCCGTCACGCGTATAACGTCGATAACTTTAATTCTGATAACACTTTCAGAATAATGGGTAGATAAATGTTAAGAGAAAAGTAAATATCTGGCATTTATTGAACTAGAATTAATATCACGTGTCTCGGATGAAATTGGATCATATGACTATGTTCATTGGTAGAAATAATTATTGTCCTTTATACACAGTATTTCGTCCTATCAGATAATGGCACTGTATTTCTCCCTTGAAATATTGTACTTTAATTACTAATAGTATGGTTAAATTCACAGACGTATGAACTGGAACACTGAATTTACAGCTTCTCAGTTAGTAGTATCTTCATGTAAAAATACTGCTTTTCTAGGGTTAAGTAAATTTTTTATAACGTAGTAAAGATGTTTTTTACGACAAATTATCTGCAACTTATATTATGGAAAGTGCCATCTCCAGCTATATTGATAGGATAGCATTTTAATAAATTGAGTAGAAAAATCGATGAGACCATAATTTATGAACGAACTAATGAAAATAAAAGCACCAAATTTTTAATTTCTGTGCTAAATTCATTCATCCGTACAGTTAGAATAGCATTTTGGTATTATGGCTGATATAAGTTCGTAATTGGTTGGGTCACGTATTACGCATGCCCATCCACCGCCTACCTCGGTGTGCCATGTTGACTAGTATTGGAGACAGATGGAGGAAAGGTAGGGACGGCCAAACCAAAACGTGACATCAGTCCATAAAGTCACTAACTTCTGGTGTGAGCCAGTTTGATAGATGCAGACTACTTGGTTGGGGTCCGCGCGACTATAGTAACCAATGGTTGGAGACTCTGGGTGATATATCTCAGAATTGATCACAGTGGTGTAGGTGTATGCACTCTATCTTCCCTTAAACAGTGAGAATAAAATTGCTTTATACATTTCTTTCTACGAACTAGTTCTTTCTTTCTGTACAATGTCCTTATACACAATCTTTCTTTTATGTTACTACCATTGAAGTAACTATTATGAATTCGATGTTTATCTTGTTATGCTAATGAAGTGTGGCAACTGGGACCGATGCATATATGTGCCTGGTCCTAAGTTGTAGATGACTGGTGACTGACTGACTAAGCTCGTATTAGAAACTTTCTCTTTAGTTCCTAACCCTAAATTATAACTCTAAATCCTAATCTCGATTCCTCATACTAACCTTCTTTTGACCCTAGTATCTTATATGTTTCATGGTCACTCTAACATCGCTCAGAGGTCGTCCATAAACTACAGTTTCCCCAAAGAATCTCTGCGGCTCTCAGTTCTACAGAATAACATTTTCCAAACACTCCAATTTTCTATTCTAACAACATTTGTCTTAAGTTTTAGGGTTCTTGTAACTTTAGCAATAGCATCCTCAGTGTTTTCTATCATTTCATTTTGTATGTATGTTTTAGGAATATATATTTAGTTCAGATTATGGTAAAAAAACTGATGTGAATTTCAATGGCAAAAGTAGTCAGTTTGGTGTTTCTTTAATGTTTATCGATTTCCGAAGTTGAGTTTCTGGTGCATTGATTCTCACGAAATCTGATTAGCATTCTTATGAACAGCTCAATTGTTTACTGCCTTGTTTAAAAGAATTTAACCAATTTGAATTGTTAATTTTGGTCGTTTAATTATTTATTGTTAAATGTATTACCGCTAGATTTATTTAAATTGTGTATTAATTTTTCTTGATGTTGAATGAATACTTGATGTATAGTACAAACAAGTGAACATATTTTTACGGACTAGATGGATTGTAGCTAACAATGGAATCCAAAATGTTCATTTCATCCTTATTACATCTCAACTGGATAGATCTGGGTTCGAGTGTCGACATTCACACCAGGGCTCAAATACCTTACATTTCCCTTTAAACTCTAACAAGTTTTCCACCGAGTAGGCTACTGAATCCAAGTGTTTACCAGCTTATAGATAAAAAAATAGTTCGAACCCTTTCTAATCATGATATAAACTGAACATCAGTTAAAAGTAATCGAAATCAGGACGAACTATCATTCATATAATCGTGGCTCCGATTTCTCTTCTGTTTCATCAAATTTAAAGCATTCCCATTTATTTAGTGCTTATAACTTCCTAGTTTAGTACACTACATAGCATAAACTATGGTTTTGTGGTTTCTAATTAGTTGACTGAATTTTTCTTCGTTTTATACAAAAATTAGATTCAAATCAATATTATAACAAGAAAGACATTTTAAGTATTGATAATTGTTTAGTGAGCGTGTCTTGTTACTCACTTCTTTCTTCATTTCACTTATTATAAAGCTTATCAAATTAAAATACAAGTAGAAAAGAAAGATATAATGAAATTCACATTAATCGATCAATTAATTGTGACCAATGTTCAATTGTCTACTTCTTAGTGCTAATTGAATCCTATCGATCAAATTTTAGTTTAGCTATTATCTTAAGTGATTCTACCTTTCAGCGTTGTTTATTAATTACTGTGTAACCTTTATAGATCAGTGATGACTTCCCTAATTGATACTTGGTTATCCAAGTCGAAAAATTTTGTGCCAAAAGAATTCTTTAACTAAAATTCACATAATATGTCATTGTTAGCAAGCGTGTCAGTAATCCTGTTATTGATATTTAGGACTGAATTTTTGATCAATCTATATGCAATGTGTTCAGAGTACCAAGATATCACCACGTTGTCACTAAGTTTTTTAGAATAGGTTTGTAGTTAACCCATTGATATTTAAAGCAAAAGGTTTTTGTGTCCGAGTCCTGATGTAAACATCAACACTAAAGTGTAAGTATGTTTAGCGGACGACTTCCAAACCAGATAAAAAAGAGCATTTTGAATTCCATCGCTATCCGCAGTTCACACTTTATTAAAATATTCTCACAATATTTTATAAGGTATATAAATAAAATTAAGTTGAAGTGGTATTCTTCTCTCATAATTTTATATCTAATAAATAAACTTGTTTCCTTTCTTAATCCAATTAAAACATTGTTCATTTCACTTTAAATCAATAATCTTTTATCTTTCGTTCTGTTTAAACCTTTTAGTTGTCAAGATTGTGATGACTTGCATTGTTATCACTTTAGAATCTATTTTAAATGAATTTGTTAAATAACATATAATACTTGTTTTATTTTAGGGTCATATATTAAGAATAACTTTAGCCATTCTTAACATATAACAGTCTTTTAGAAAATTAAACTCAGGATCATAGATAGTAAAAAGGTAATTGCACCGTTAATGTATAGGTTTTCTTTTTAGAAATTTTTTTCTCCACGTTTATTATATATTAAACTGTTGTAGTAACATACCTAAGATTAATGTTAAGCAATTAATTATAAATGACAATCCATTTGTTTGTTCTATTAATTTGGATTTGTCCAAACTGTTCATTTTCATAGTGAAAGTATTCATTATCTTATTACTCAAAATAGAATAGACATATCATATACATTGTGGTATTCGTCATATGTGTGTGTGTGTGTCGTAGGCGGTTTTATAAATATTTATGAATTTGATTTGATGTAACAGAGTGGAGCTGTTGATAGATCAAATATCTCTGAGATTTTACTTAGTTTTCAGTTTGTAGTGAATTAATTTTCACAGAAAATACAGTAGAGGAACCATTGAAATTTTCCAGTTCTTTTTTTATTGTTGAACAAAGTGTTCATGATAAATTGACTTTTTCATAATTTAGTGGCAATAATATAGACGTAACTATTTATCAAATTTAAGAATTCAATAATTCTGCATAGGTATGAAGTTTCGAATTTGTCACTTGTAAACTAACAAAGGTTTTCGCAATTTAAAAGTTATACCTTAGACATACATTACTAATCATATTCGTCTATTCTTTGTTCCAATGACAAATTAATTTATATTACGTAATAGAATAATATGTTCAGAAGTGTTATCTGATTAAAATATGATCAGTTTATTGATATTCATGATATAAAAATGGTTGGGAATGAACTTAACTCATTCATCAGATGCTTGGATTTGAAGTACACTCTAAGTACGAATGTTAGTGATACTACTCATTTTCTCAAACTTAAGTGAGTTGAGTAGGATTCGAACAAGGGACTCAGTGACTAAAGGTCAGATGCTTTAGCTACTAAGCTACTGCTTCATTAAATCTATTCATGATCTTGTTAAATATTTATTATTTGGAAAGGAATCATAGGTTTGATTCTAGTTAAATTCTCTTATTTTTTCTGATAACTTGTGCTTAGTCAAAGTTGGAAATCCTCAATACGTAAATCGCATTATTACGATAAACTCTATTCTTGAAATACATTGGCATTGTAAATATTTCATAAATATTATAAAATAAATTTTTCAGTAATTTTCTGTCATTCGTTATCAGTTCCAAGGGTTTTCGACGAGTTTTACCCCACAGTATTTTCCGATACATTATACATTTGATGCATGAATTTCAACGTACTCGTCTCCAATACAACAATCAATGTATTGTTTTCACTTACTTTTTTCAGTAGTTAGCATCATGGTAGGTTTTTTTAACATTTTGTAGAAGCTCATGAATACATTGTACGGTTATTATTAACCTTAACGTTTTGAAATATGAATCAATTTTGAGGTACTCGCACAGTAACAAATGAACTCGCCTTTGATCAATTCATTATTACTAAACATTATTCAGAAAAGTTCTATCTTATCTTATTTCTGATTTTATTTTTAGCCCTACTAAGATGGGTCTACTAGATCCACACACGAGTGATGGTCGTGTGATCTTCTTTTTACCATGGATGAATTATTCATTAGCTGGCACTACAGATACTGAATGCAGTCTTACTGATCAACCTTCGCCTTCTGAAGCTGAAGTGAACTTTATCTTGGAAGAAATTAGTAATTATCTTTCTCCGGAAATCCAAGGTAGGTGTTTAGTTTTGTTTTTTCTTTACGAGAATAGTTCATCAGGTGTTAGTATAGTAGCCTTTATTTTTTTTACCGTTTTACAAATGTGTAAATCTGTGGTTACATTTTGTATTAAGTTACTTTTTAGATTTTCATTTTTAAGTGACTTCAGTACACATATTTTTAAGATAGTCGATACCGTAGAGAATTAAGCAGCCAAAATAACTGAGTAGAACTGTAGTGAACGAACACTCAAGTGGAGATGAACAATTTATTGCTCAATGCACAGTCACACAGTTGTTTAGTAAAACGTGAAAATCATACATGAAATACATCATTTGTACATTTTTTTTTGAATGGTCTCCTACCACTAAACCACCGTTCAATATAATCAAGAAACAGATATTCCCTGTGACATTCTGAACCGCATTTACAAGTGTCACAGTCTCACGTGGTACCGTGATGTATGCTACTTATGTTTTCAGATATAAGTAGTATGTAACTCCAGTCGTAAGTGGAATGTATGCGAGAAGAAGGTTGTGAATATTGAAATGAAGAGAAGAGAGAAGGAAACTAAAAGCAATCAAGATGAAAACAGGAATGAAGAAACCTTCTCGCATACATTCCACTTACGACTGGAGTTACATACTACTTATATCTGAAAACATAAGTAGCATACATCACGGTACCACGTGAGACTGTGACACTTGTAAATGCGGTTCAGAATGTCACAGGGAATATCTGTTTCTTGATTATATTGAACGGTGGTTTATTGGTTAACGCGTCGAACTTTCAGCCACCAAGTCCATTGTTCGAACCCTACTCCACCCGCTGTAGTTTGGGAAACAAAATAGTATCACTAGCTGTTAAACTAAGAGTGTAGTTCATATTTAAGTACCTGATGAATGGATCAACGTAATTTTAAATCTTTAATAATTACATAGATCTTTTGATTTTATCATCGTATCAATTTTTGTAGTTCACAATCTTGATTTGTATCACTGTCAGATGTCGTTAACACATATTTCATTGCTTTCGTACGCAGTCATTTAATTTCGGTCGTACAGTATTTTGGTACAACCTTAATCAATGTTCTAGGAACCTTCTTTTACATTTTATGGATAATTATGACATCTTATTCAATGTTTGCTACACTAAGCCGATATGTTTTTGCACTTTCACCTAACAATTTTCACTCCCGTAGGTACGTTGAACGTTACACCATCGAAATCTTCATAATTGTTTGACAAGATATTCTGAATCTTGTCTACATCTATACAGTACGCCCTTATACGCGTAAATAAACATGGTTTTGCTCGATTAATCTTACATTTTCATAACTAGTGTTTTAGTTAAAATGTTACTCAATTTTCATTTTTGTTATTGCTATATTTATTTCTTTGTTAATAGTTCGTCGTGGTGATGTACTGTCATCTTGGGCAGGTATTCGACCACTTGTTCGTGACCCAAATTCTTCTGATACACAATCGATTGCACGTAATCATATTATTGATGTTTCGCCGTCTAAATTAATAACAATTGCTGGTGGTAAATGGACAACTTACAGAAGTATGGCAGAAGAGACTGTAGATAAAGCGATAAAGGTAGTAAAAATGTTTTGTCTTTATTTGAATAGTCCACTAATAAAAGTCGCTATTTTATTAACAGTGAATCAGTTAATCAGTACGTGTTTATGCATTTGACTTCAAGCTGCACTGTTTATGTAAAGTTACGTAATACTATGTGGTTGTTTAAACTGAGTTGGGTGAAATGTGATTTGATACTCATTGGTCAAATAATTTAACCGCCAAGTTATCGTTGTTTGATAAACACGGTCATACATTTGTACATTTTATGCCCTTAATAGCTGATTGTCATTAGAATTAATAATTATTTTAATATTTTCATTTTGTTACTACAAGAGAAATATACAGAAATTTATCGGGCATTATTTTATCCTATTTTATTAATTAACTAGGTATGTGATCTTAAACCAACTGGTCCATGTCGTACCAAAGGTCTTCTTTTAGAGGGTGCTCATGGTTGGTCACCAAATCTATTTATACAAATTGTTCAAGAATATGGTATGGATGTTGATGTGGCACGTCATTTAACTGGGATTTATGGTGATAAAGCTATCACTATAGCTAATATGTCCCAACTAACTGGTTTAAGATGGCCAATATTAGGTAAAAAATTGCATCCTGAATTTCCTTTTATTGAGGCTGAAGTAAGTTTATTTTGTCATTAAATTGGTAATTTGTATAATAATAGTGCCATTACTGTCTATGGAACTGCCTTCACTTTTTCTACATAGGTATGTTATACTGTATAGTTTACAAGTAGTTTGGGAACATGTTATAGAATGTCACACCAATAAATATGCATACTATCGTTAAGTGTCTTATTTCAAAATACCTTCATGTTTTCAATATTTCTTGTCTGTTAAGGTTTGTTTTGTATTGATTTGACCGATCTATTCTAGCTGTCAAGTTTGTTTGGACTGTTGTTTCATATTAACCGTCACCATTGAATACCGTTAGCTCACAAACTAGCAAGATGAAAGCTCCCTGTTATCGATACCATTTCCAATAAAGTTGTTGCACAGTTAAGTTAGCTCAGCTATACAAATCAGCATATAGATAATGTTTGTTAATTTGTTTCCAAGTGAATTCATAATATGCAACACTTACTGGTGTCAATTGTTCATTGTGACACTCCTTGCTTTTTTCCGTATACCACGTCAAAGGGATTTTCATCATGAAATGACATCTGCCGTTGAATAACAAAGATGACGTCATCTTATGATAAAAGTTTACCTTTCCATATTATGCTCATGAAGCAGTGTAAGTTTTTAATACTTGTGTTTGCTCGCTAGTGGTTAGCTTCGAAGAAAATCTCCTAAAGTTTGCGAATCGGGTGGTTATGTATGGTTAGCATATTGATGTTCTGACTACTTCATGTTTAATTTCGAATCAAATGGGAATATGCTGATTAGTTCATTTTTCAATCAATTAACCCTGGTTGAGATACTGAAAGATACTTATGTAAATCTTACATCAGTATTAATGTTTTTACCACCACATCTATTTTGTTCAGACTTATTGGAATGTAGATTGTTTCCTCTCAATTCTTGTTCTGATTTGGGAATAGTCGAATGAAGCATAGAGCTTCCAGGGAATAGTACTATAAAGTACATTATTATGTCCCCAGAATACTTAACTGACTTGGCACTTGTTACTGGAAAACTGCGAATCAGACAACATGAATACAAGCACAAGGATGATAGATCAGGATTTATTTGGTCTCCACAATAGAGCAAAGTGTTGCATGAATGCATAAAATTTTCTATTATTTATCTACGGTTAGATTAACAATTAGATACAATAAAGAATATGAATATAAAAGGCAAAACCATGTCATCACCAGACATAACATCTTTGTTCACTAACATGTCACTGACAGAAACCTTTTATTACATATGTCAACAACTAGAAACAAAAATAGAGGTACCGATCACGATAAATACAATGAAGGAGCTTCTGTTGAACTGCACTATGAAAATCTACTTTATGTTTAACGATGAAATTTACAGACCAGTAGATGGAGCAGCAATAAGATCACCCGTAGGCCTCATCCCCGCTAACATTTTTTTGAACCAAACAGGAAAATGGACCGTTGGGTTATATCCTAGATAAGCTAGATTATTGTTATCGATACATAGATGGCACACTAATCGTGTGTGACGAAAATATCGACAAACAAGAGGTTTTGAACAGTTTTGATCACGTTCACTCAGCTATTAAATTCACCAGGGAAGAAGGAAACGACAATAGAATAGCTTCCCTTGATGTTTTACTTTTTGCAAAAATAGACGGTTCCATAAAAAAAGTTTTACTTAAGTAGAATACTTGGACGAGTCAGTATACCTATCCTCATAGTTTTAAACCTCTTCAATACAAAATAAATTTAGTTAAATGTTTCAGTCACAAAATCAAACCATTGAATTCTGAGGATTGCGTAGATAGCGAAATAGATAAACTAAAGAGCACGCTAAGACATATTGACTATCCAGATAATGCCAGAAAATTTCTATCAGAAGGCAAAAAAAACTAATAGGATCAGAGAGAAAACCGTATATCTGAAACTCGATTTAAAAAAGAGCCATAGCAGGTGACATTTTAACACGTCAACTCAAAAGATCTGTTGAAGGCATTTCATGACGCCAAGTTACATGCAGTCTTCTCAAGCAAACCAGTACTTACGCAACAAATAGAGGATAGTTTACCGATGATGGGCTCCTCCATGTGTGTATACCAATTCGACCGCCCCTATGGAGCTGGTTACCTAGGTTATACTCGGAGGGCTTTTTCCTTTCGTTCTCATGAGCATGCATTAGCATGTTTGGGAAAAGGAGTCACTGCATCTTTTAACAACACCATTCTTTCTCACTTGGTAGATAGTGAACATCATATAAAAATTCATGAAGCTTTCTCTTTTTGTATCGAGTTCTAAACAATCTACATAGCTAAAGCCGTCTGGATCAACTCCAGAAAACCTAACTTATGTATCTAGAAGAAGTGTATCCAGCCTCTATGTTTACCTTGGTTCACGAATGAATCACCAGATATCTAAACTGGATATTATAAACCTCTTATTCGCTCTTCCCATTCCCTATGCCTTTTTATCTTTCTTAACCTACATGTTCACCTTTCCTAATTCGCATAAATTCTTTTTTATCGCAATTACTTTGACAACGCCTCTCTTATTACATATTATATTCACACGATTTATTATGACCTCAATTAACAAGACGGAATTCTCATACTATACATTTTGTTCACGCTATTTATTGTATTGCTATTATATTGATAATAACTTGACACTTTACTACGAATCATTGTAACATTCATATCACAGTAATTATGGACTTTTAACTGTAGAGCCTAACATGTTTTAATCAATAGTATATTTTTTGAACCCATACTTAAAGTATCATATAATTATGTGTCTAAAACTAACAGATATAACTAATAGACTTGACTTTGTATTATTTACTGCTTCCCACAATATGATTGCATTTTACAGACGATTGGGACGAAAAGTCAATGTGATGTGTTATTCACACTCTAGTAGATTATATCGTTCATTGCTCACAATATCATACATATAATTTACTCTTTTTTTAAAAGAGATTCTTTATTTAATATTCTTTAGGTGGAATATGCATGCCGAGAATATGCTTGTCATGTTGTTGATTTTCTTGCTCGCCGTACTCGTTTAGCATTTTTGAATGTACGAGCGGCGGAGGAAGCTTTACCAAGAATTGTTGATTTAATGGGTGAACATTTAAAATGGAGTAGTGAAAGAAAAAAGCAAGAAATGAGAGAGGCAGAGGTAAACTAGAATTTTGATAAAATATTTGTATAATATATTTACTCTATTCATTTTTTCCGCCGTATTACTAATATTGAAGCTGAATACACACTTTGTTCATAGCAAAATATAATCGGTCTGTTGAATCAACATTGTTACATTGAGTTTGAACTGGTGACTTACTTGTGTCTGTCACTCGTCATGGTGTATAGGCCGCCGACCAACAGTCTTCAACCTACTCTGTCCTTGGCTCCCCTTTCCAGGTTTTGTTGGTTTGACATAGGTACATATGTTGAAGGCTCCAATGTGTATTTTGGAGCGAGGTTTCAGTAGACCTGGGACAGTGTTTTGCATACTAGAATCGTTGGCTATGGTGATACTTGAGGAGAAAGCCGAAAGAGGAAGTTTAGTGTTGAACTGAAAGTCGAGGTAGGAGGAATAATAGGAATTGGAGAGGGAAATTGATTATGAATACAGTGGTCTGGAGTACTGTTAGAGGTATGAGGACAGTTATCACTTCCCGGTTGCTCACACCATGGAAGGGTATTTTAGAGGTACTTGAAAAGGAAATTGGATTAAAAGTGGTCTTAGTGACCTGAGAGCGTGACCGCAGTGCCCAAGGGACAACTGTTTGAGGTCGGTCACACACGACCTTTTTGTGGGTAGTTTTTGTGTTAGCTCCGTACTTGTTGGGACCTTACCGCTGGAGACGGATATCCGTGGGATAAGGCGAGGTGTACATTTTTAGGGTCGACCTTTTCTAACCTCACCCTTCCTTGTGGGAAGGCAGCATTGCTGTTATGCTGGTTGTCTGAAGGAAACACCTTACTGCTGTCACACCTCTGTACAGTGCTCAGTACGACTTCGCCTTCGAACCTTGTGTTTGCTGCTTGTATTCTTACCGCTCTTCAACCGACCTGTCTGGCATGGTGGGACTTTGAGGAACGATTGTTCCATCCAGTATAGCTCGATTGGTTCATCACGATAGGCAAGCCCGACCACCACGTCAAGGTAGCAGCAACGGTCGGGTTTACGGTTATTAAGTACTACTTAGATCCAGTAAAATCATATAGATGTAGCTGTCTACAATAAATAAACTGTAAATTATCAACTATAATATAAAGTTGAATAATATCTTCAAAGCAATATACGATGTTATTTAACCTTTATTTCAGAATCAAATATACATTTAAATAAAAGTAAACAATATTGAACTATTACTTGGCTGTCTAGACTAAGTTTTACACGTATATTTTTGTCTTTGATGGATAATCTTGATGATGATAATGACGATGAACAAAATGATAATATCATAATATTTCTATTCTAATTACTATCAAATTTTTCATCTTTATGTCGGCGGATAAAGCGTTAGATGAAAACAAAAGAATTTATTATTATCTCATATATATTTTCCTTACTACAGAAAAGATGTATGACGACTTTATGACTGTGTTGTTGGCTATAATTTTGATTGAATTATAACTTAAAGATATTACTTGTTACGGATTAGCTCCATTTGAAGAGTAATTAATACTGAAAGTAAATAAGATAATTCTTTTGTATTAGATTGATGCTTTGCACTAGTGTACACTCATGAAGGATCGAACTTATTAGCAGTTTGTCAATCAGTAATTAGAAAGATTTCAAAATTGAAGGGTTTTCACAAACCTCCTATATCAATAATGATCATGTGCTGAGGGGTGGATATCTTCGAGAGAAATTTCTAAATTTCTAGTACATGCGTATGATCAGTGGAGTTCAAACATAACACTAATGAGGTATGTATCATTTATGGAATAGAATGATGCAAGTTAAAAATAGAAATCACTGTATCCCGAATTCATTGGTTTAAAATTAATATACAATCTACGAAATCTCAATGTTTTCTATTCACTCCCTTCTGAGTTTGTCGGTTTGTACGTCTATTAATTTAAAGATAAAACAATTCAATATATCTTGGCTTCTATTAGTTTCAAAGCTGAAGTTAGTCCATCATGAAAATTATTTGTAAACTAGATAATTTTTACAAACTTCCTACCTTTCTTAATTAAATCTGAAAAACGTCATTTATGTTACGTTTTATTTATATAACTGATAGTTGTGCAGAAAATGTTTTATGAATTTAACACATACTATGTCTCACTTTTGGTTTATGCAATGTTTATATATATATATATATATATATATATATATATATATATATATATTACGTCACATATCGTGAACAATTTCTTGTCAGTATTTATTTCAGAAGTGTCTGGATTCTCATTGATTTTTCTAACTGGTAACACATGTTTTTAAAACACTTTTGTTGTTGTTACGTTGTTACATCTCTGTTTTTCTTTTTACAGAACTTCTTAAAATCTGAAATGGGTCTTGGTCTGCGTGTTATGGAAGGTGTTCGTATGGATTTGACTATTGATGAAATTAGTCATCTTTTACAAAGTTTCCGTAAACTTGATCATGACACGAAAGGATATGTTTCATTGGATGATTTACGCAAATTTTGTACTGTAAGTTGTTATCAAATCAAGATATTTAAGTGATTGTTTTCTGTATTCAATTTGCTAATTACCATCGACATTTAGGAATGCTTGTAAATTGTTTTAGTGTTTTCCATAACTTTTTTTACTGTGTACATACTTATTCCCTATAAATTAAATGATTCATTTCAAGTTCAATATGTTGATTATTCAAATTTTCCCAAATACAATAAATAATCACTTACCATGCTTGTGAATTTAGGCTATATCGAGGCAATATGCACAGTGTGCACATATGCCAATTAGAGACTGACCAGTTGCAGTCCTAAACATCAATGGGAAGATTCAAACAAACAATACTAAGTGAATTCAATCACTTATTATGATATAATATGTTGAATAACACATAATATGAGTTTTATCAGTCAGATCTTTTTTTATTTCCTTCTCTAGTCCAACAGAGGTTTTTATTTGATCAAAATTAGTCTATCTGATTATTTATTTGTCAGCAAACATAACAATAATAAAACTTCTTTTTAACTGTTCCTCAAAAAAATAAATAACTATTTATTGTAGTCACAGGATGGTTATTGTTATAACTTGTGGCCGAGTGGATGCCTTGTTAACGTATGAACGTAATATGACCACCAATAAGAGAGCAGCGAATTATCGATTGGAACAGTGACACACGAAAACCATACGAGCAGTCTAGAGTACATATTGGTCCTGCCCTCTGTCTAGCCCAGATAGTTAAGTCCAGAACACCAATCTCAGCCTTTGCGATTTGAATCACTATATTTCAAACATACTGAGTTTATATACCAAAGAGACTGACCACATTGTACCATAAGATAGAAAATAACATTTGTACAAGATTTAGCTAAATGTGGCTGTGAATATGGGAGACAGTAATTAATAGATTAGGGAAAACTCAAGAATGGTAAATCATATAATAATAGAATATAGTTCAAAATAAAGCTCATGATAAGGGGAACATGAATATGAATAGTTTAGTTATTTAGCAGATATACGATAAAAAATATGCATAATATTGGTCCATCGTAACTTTGATGAATTCTTAATTTTCCATATCATGATTAGACAATCATTAAAAACCGTAAAGCGTCAGACAACAGTTTCATCTTAGTACAATACTCCTCAGCAGTATGTATTCATGACCCCTATGACCTTTCGACTTTGCAAAAGCGCCTGATCTTCAAACCACTAGGTTAGCATCCAATAATTTAGATTTCTAACTTAAATGGATCTTTAAACTCACAAACCTCCACAGCATTCTATAAATAATTTTAGTTGGTTTTAAACGATTCATACTTGTAAGTATTAATCTTCTAAAAGTAACTGGATTTTACAGAATTTTTACGTCAAAGCATGTCATAGTATGATTCAATTCAAAACTGATTATTTTGTTTCAAGTATTTTTTAAAATGAATATTTAAGACAAAAATAGTACATGTATTTGTTGAGCTTTATTGAATTTGGTAAACTCGTTTTGCCAAAAATTACACACTAGATTAATATGCAACAAATATTTTGATAATTCTATAGACGATGTACCTGATACTTATTCCTCTCCATCTTGTTTTAAGTACAATTTATTCAAGTAATTAATGTAAGGATAATCGATTGTATAAATGTTTCATGTAATAAGGTCTTGAGTGTTGTTAGAGGTATGAGGACAGTTATCACTTCCCGGTTGCTCACACCATGGAAGGGTATTTTAGAGGTACTTGAAAAGGAAATTGGATTAAAAGTGGTCTTAGTGACCTGAGAGCGTGACCGCAGTGCCCAAGGGACAACTGTTTGAGGTCGGTCACACACGACCTTTTTGTGGGTAGTTTTTGTGTTAGCTCCGTACTTGTTGGGACCTTACCGCTGGAGACGGATATCCGTGGGATAAGGCGAGGTGTACATTTTTAGGGTCGACCTTTTCTAACCTCACCCTTCCTTGTGGGAAGGCAGCATTGCTGTTATGCTGGTTGTCTGAAGGAAACACCTTACTGCTGTCACACCTCTGTACAGTGCTCAGTACGACTTCGCCTTCGAACCTTGTGTTTGCTGCTTGTATTCTTACCGCTCTTCAACCGACCTGTCTGGCATGGTGGGACTTTGAGGAACGATTGTTCCATCCAGTATAGCTCGATTGGTTCATCACGATAGGCAAGCCCGACCACCACGTCAAGGTAGCAGCAACGGTCGGGATGTAATAAGCGGACTCCATAGAGTCACTGTTTTAGCACTTTAAAGAAAATTCATTTTTAGATATAATACCATACCATAATAATTGTTTAAAATTATACAACACACATATTTCGCTGTAAACTATTAACTTTCACGAATATACTAACTATGAATACAACTGTACAGCTTAAGTAAATGAAATCTTCGCTAAAACAACTTTCTTCGTTGAATTGTTTTTATGCTTCTTAAATCCTATATATTTACTAAACAAGTTTACAGTTCCTATCCGTAGCTTTGAATGATTTCAAACACCTCAGATTTCAGGCGTTTTTTATAGCTTGTCTAGGTAGTTCTTTTTCTAAATATAATGTTTTAAATAGTTTGTTCATTGTAACCATTTTGAGTTCAGTATACATTTGATAAACTGAACAAATTAAATTATCTGAATACAATTTTAATCATATACTAACATCAATAGGTGAAGTGTTGATAATATGAGAGATCAACGATCAATCATTTGGGACTTTGTGTGATATGGCTCGGAATTGTTTAGAATGGCTAAGATTCATTCACTCATCGTATTCCACTAGATCTTCGGCTTTGAAATTATTGTATATTTTTTATTCCGCAAATTTACTATTAATGAATAACAATGGCTTTATTTAAAATTATATGTTTAGTACAGTATTTAATTCTCAGCATATTATCTACGTCTAATGTTTTCTACTACTGCGACATATATCTTGATAATTTCATTTCACTATGCTGATATGGTATAGTGACTTGGATCGATACATATAATTACCAGCTTCTATCTTGTTTATGACTAACTTATCTAATGATTATCCAACTGAAATTATCAGTTCTCGGTGAAATCTTCTTAACTAAGCTAAATTTCTTCTAGCTACATGTCTGAATGATAGTAATAATAAGTACAATATTCTTATTGTATTTTATGAATGTTTATACAAATAATATTTATTAACCTTTTTAGGAATCTGGTGAATATGTTAGTGAAGAAGTACTACAGTCTACTTTGAATACAATGGATATTAATAAGAATGGACAAGTCGACATGTCAGAATTTTTACAAGTATGTTAAAAAATAGGAAAACTTTCTGTGATGTTTTATTTATTTCATTGGTTCTTAGTTTTTTTTAATTTTTTCATTATTTTCTATCTACATGTTTCAGTTAATTCTGATATAGAAATTTTATTTTATTTTTAACATGCAATCAGACTTTTCAAGTTGAAAAATATTATTGATCATGTTGTTTGAAATAACAAGTCAACATTTTTTGTCCTTAAATTTATAAACAATGAAGTGATCACTTGGTTGTTAGGCGGTTCAAATTTTAACCGGTGGATTTCAGATTCAAAAGTCAATCCACTTGCTATGGTTTGGATAACTGACTGGTATCATTAACCTTTACACAAATAGTGTACTTCATTCAATTCAATTGGTATTATTTACTTGTATCTTCCCATTTTTGTTAACGACTGCAATGGATCAGTCCTAACACAATACTTGATCTACCATAACTAAATAAATCTACGATTAACACACAATCATACTTTGAAAATTATAACTTCACGCAAGCGAGAATGGATGAGACTAGATTTTCGGCCTGCAGAATAAGAACAAGAAGTATGTAAACATCTCAGTTTATATAGTATTTTAGGAGATAAAGTAACTTATAGGACTTCTGTGTTTCAAAGTTTACGATCATGTCGTAGTACAAAGGCCCACATTAATGTTACTGAAGAAACCCTGACAAATCATAATAATATTTGTTTTATTCAGTCTTAACACAAATATTTATAGATCGTTTAAAAGCTTGAGGCACGCGTTTTCTTTGTAAGGATTTATATTTTCCCGTTTTTGATGTTAAGGGATTCAGTTGACCAGTCTCTATACCTGTTACACAAGACAGTGGCTATTTGAACTTCGTAGGTCAACGCATAACGCTTTGGTGTTTGAAGTTAAATTACTAGGTTCGATGAGATACCATGTGAAAATTAACACCCAGAGGACCAGTCTCAAATAGGATGAAATAGACCATCCAGGTTTCACTGCTAGTCACTATCCAACTTTAATCAAGATTTATGAATAAACGAAAATATCGAGGCAATCCTCTCAAGATGCATTCCTACCAACAGAGGCTAATCAATTGCACATCTTAAAATCAACAACAGGAAAGTACAAACCCTTTGGGAGAAATCCGTGGAGTTTAACTACTAGAATAATTGCTCAATATACTGTCGTTGTTAATTTTGTTTTTATTGGATAATTATACTGTTTGTTGTAAAAGATATTAATTCTTTGTCAAGTTGTTTTGTGTCGTCATAGCAGTTCATAATGCTTTCAGCTGAAATACCTGGTTAGAAGGGTTTTTTAGCAAGGATGTTTTCTACAGTATGGTTCCTATTACAAGTTACTCAATAAATGACAATCACTACAGGAATACATTTAAATCTAAATGGAATAGCGTTTCATTTAATACTTTGTGAACAGGTTTCCTCATTATCTTTGTTTTGTAATTTTGAATATGCAAATTAATGTTTTTATTCTCGTACAAACTTTTTTTTGAAAAAGGATTATAAATTTTAATTATGAATAATGTTACAATACTGACTTTTTAGGCAAGTTAAATCTATTTACCTCAATACCCTGTGTTAATTGTAACTGTCATAGAGATGTTGGTTTGATGAGTTTACAACTTGTTTTTTTTTCTACTTTGGTATTATTTTCTTTTCATCGATAAATTCTTTCAAGCTGTAAACTGTTAGTGAGGTCAATCAACTTTTCGTTATTGAACTGCACATTCAACTTTAAGGGAAACTATTACCAACCTATTCATTGATCCAAGTGATTTTCTAGAATTCAAGTTAAAACAGAAATCACTGTATTAAATTTGTTAATGTTCTTTCAAACGGTGCACAATATATTTAGAAGATAACACATTTTTTCAACCTAATTTTCTGTCTACCCAGTCAATTCACTAAACACTGAACCGTAAATGAGGAACGTGAGTACAGCTATATAAGTAGGAGAAGTGAAAAAAATCCATTTCAACTGATGATGAAGTGACCAAATTTATCTACCTAATTACGATTTAATAATAATAAATGACGTTCACCACCGACCAATCATTGCCTGTAGGTATAGTATGTCCTTTATGCCTTCCAAGTCAAGAGTACATTTACCTGTAAACAAGCTTTTCGACTTTGTGTTTGCGGATGATATTGTCTTATTGTGAGACGATATTCAAGCCATGCAGTCCGCACTTAATCAGTTGATAGTCAGTATCCATAGGTATGGGATTTGTTTTGCACCTTCTGAGTGCAAACTACTCATAGAAGACTGGTAGAAGCCTGTCTTTTCACTCACTGTTGTTAGTGAGCAGATAGAATTAGTTAAGAAGTTGGTATTCCTGTGTATCTGTGTAAGTGCTGGTAGTGGCATGATTAGTGAGACCGATTCACATATAGTGAAAGCTCGTTTGTCTTATTCCGACATGTGCCATCTTTGGTGCTTTTGTGTTGTTATCCTGAGTATAAAAGGCTGTATCTACGATGCATCGATTAGAGCAGCCGTACTGTGTGCTTTCGAATCCTGGACTGACTGAGTTGAGTATGTTAAGTGACTTCCAGGTTTTTGATGGTGGTCTAGCTTCAATTGACTCATGATTTCAACTGTGAAAATACTAAATTCTCCACAAAACTCCCTCTGATGCATAAAATATATTCAAGTCAACTTATTGTGAATGAATCTTTACTCTTTCGCCGTTATTGAAATAGAATGATGAACTAGAAGTGTAGTAGAAAAACAATTCTTATACATTCGTAATTAGTTGTTAAGAAAATTTTCATGCTGGTCGAATTACATACAAACTTTAAACTTTTTTAGATTTAATTAGCTTTATATAAACATTCCCATTATTCATATATCTTAGTTATAAACTATTTGTTCAATTCATATTTCACTATTAATCATTTATGTATAATGAAAACAACCTAGGTACTTCGTAACCAACTCATCTATCAATTGAATTCACGTAATCTTGATAAACAAGTTTAACAATCATATACGTAAGAACATTACAAAGCAGATCCAAAATATTTGACTTTTGTTTGAAAACCCACCATTTTGATCAAAGTTTGTTTTGTGCGTGGATTTAAATTAACAAAAAATCATTATAATGCTTAACACTTTGCTTCTGTTTCAACTGCCTTTTGTGTTGTTGTTGTTGTTCAGTTTGTTGTCGAATTATCACAGATCATTGTTGCTGCCTCTTCTGATGAAAATTCACTGTGTATTTGTCATTATATTGCTACTATTTGTGCGTAATATGTGTCTGTGTATGTTTGTGATTGACAATATCTTGACTTTACAGATTAAGTTTAATTTCCATAGTATAAATTTGTCAATTGAACACCATTTTAGCTAGTTGACTTCATTCCCGGTTGTATAACTGAAAGTGAGATTGCCGTTAATCACTGAGTTGATGTTGTATTTCCACGTTTTCTGACTAACTAATTTGAGGTTGTAACAGTAATGAAAAGTTGAGTAATTTTAGAATATTAATTTAGTGGTCTTTGTTATTAGTAGATTTTCCCTAACCTTAGATCGATAAATTTTAAATTCATATATACAAAGCTTAAAGTTTATATTGGATACTAGACTGTTTTGATTATGCTCAGTCCAAATGTTTATCAATATAAACTAACGTATATGTTAGACCGATCTTTACGAACTGTATGATGAATTCTAAAATGATAAAAATAAGAACATAGGTAATATTTACTTTTCAAATGCTAAAATATTCAGCACACACCGTAGATTTCAATTCTCACGAGCTAGAGTGTGAGATTGCCTTTTTTCAAATCTTTTGTTCATAAGGCTAGTATGTATACTTTATAATTTGAATTATTAGCATCGAACCGGTTGTTCTCGAGAACAATAGCTGATGTATTAGAGCAATTAGGTCACAGATTTTAATCCGAGCATGCGAGTAATACCGGTAACCCTAACACACAAACTGTAGCTCTAGACTCGTTACATCAATCTTTGCTCGGCACATGGATGATATTTTCAATATCATTATCAGAGATATAATTGGTAGGTAAACGTTGATCAGTCATTATCAAAATTAATTGTCACTTTTAAATATTCATCTTGTTAAGACTACGTGAGTAGAATCATTTGACTTTACTCAAGTTTAGTCTCGACTAAGCTTTTTAATTCCATTGAGAGTAACAGGCGTAAGCTTTTTAAATAAACAATTTTACATTGTGCGTAAATTTCTATCAAATGTTTTGATGTGCTACCTGTTCTATTTATCAGCTGGTTGTTATTCGATCCTTTTTTGCATTGCTTTTATCCAATATCATATATTGATTATTTTAGTAAAATCACTTTCTCCCTTTGATTATCAAACCCTTTTAACTCACGTAAAGAGTTGATATCGTCTTCGTTAAAAATTTGGAGATTTTTCAAGAACCATTATGAAAATACTTGCTCACATTTCTTAAGCTTGTATCACATTTTTTGTAAAATTTCATTTTCGTTTTTTATTTAAGATAATAATTCTGTTTTTTCCTGAATAACTTTTGTTCACTTTCCTTTCAAATTACATTCTATGAACAAGATATTCTGTATACCCATTGCTAACAGTTATCATATTTATTATTTCAATTGGTAAGTACTTACCTCGAGTTATACTGTTGAAGATTCATGGTAGATGAATTTGTCTAATGAATAGTATGTAGTACAAAAATACCTCATATAATGTCAGCAACCAGTCGTACATTGTGTCAGTTTGAAAATACCAAAATTATAACTTACTGAAATGAAGTGCCTGTATTCACACTAACGATGTAGAAAGAAATTGAATGGAAATTCTGTTTTTTTCTAATTCTCCTATTATCGTCATTATCTTTGCCTAATTACAGACTTGCTTTAATATGCATTCATTACAAATTATGTAAACTTTAATTAATAACTACCATATACATATAAATATAAAGTAATAATAGTAATCTTGACAAATTATTAACAATATTTTTCCTATTCTTCTTTTCTAGTTTATGAGTGCAATAAAATCTGGCGTTGTTGTCAACTCACCTTTAAAGAAAGTATTAAGTCGTACTCGAATTCCTGTTTATAGAAGTGGTGGTGGTGTTTGAAAGAAAAACTATTATTCTATTTAGAAACTTTCGCAATGATAATAGCATTAATGAGGATAAGTGTCCCTTATCTCTACCTTTTTTAAAGTTAACTTATTTCGTTCTGAGTTTTGTTCACTCTTAGTGTTATGTGTCTACATGTGGTTGCCGATTGTGCTTCTTTGAAGATGTTGATGAATCGACTACAAGAATGGTGCTATTATCATTAGTGTTATTCACCAGTTTAATAATATCACAGATTTGTAGTTAGACTGTCTTTTTTTCATTTTTTTAAAATTACTCTTATCTAGATAAGTTGAAATTGCTGTAAGATGTGTGCATGTATGATTGACTTACCAATTTTAGTAATTGTGCATTTTTAAAGTTATAGATAAGAAAAACGTACTTGTTTTTTGGCTTTATTTTAGTTATCTTGTCATTATTCAATAGAATACAAAAGTATTCTTCATTCAACACTTGGAAAACTGTTTTCTATCTCATAATTGTATTTTTCATGGTTATTATCATTAACTTTAGCTATATATCACTTCCAAAACAGAATCATTTGTCCATCTACTACTGTCTATCACAGCAACTATTAGAAATTTTCACTTTAATATTTTTCCTTGTTAAGAAGTATGTTCAATGTGTATCGATTTAGTTCACGAGTTTACTTTCTTCTGGTTAATTTCTGATTATATATTGCATTCTTTTTGTCAACCATGTTCAGGATTGTTTAAAAATGTTTGCTTGGGTATCCATGCCTTGTGATAAAGTCAATACATTTATACAACTCTAGAAATGTATACGTGTTTTATTATACAGACAATAGAACTTAAATATATTTCATATTCAAGACATAAGTTATCGAAGATCCGAAATCTCGTACATATCTGACCTTTGCTGAACTTCTAGCCTCAGATTTCTAAAAACGATTTCTGAATTTTTAGATATTCATTGAGATTACATAACAATTAGCAGGATGTGTACTCATTGAGGACTTCTGTCAGGTAAAACTTTACTGAAAATACGAGAGTAGATTAAAAGCATAATATATTCCGTGCATCCCGACCGTTGCTGCTACCTTGACGTGGTGGTCGGGCTTGCCTATCGTGATGATCCAATCGAGCTATACTGGCTGGAACAATCGTTCCTCAAGGTCCCACCATGCCAGACAGGTCGGTTGAAGAGCGGTGAGACTAAAAGCAGCAATCCCAAGGTTCGAAGGCGAAGTCGTACTGCTGACTGTACAGAGGTGTGACAGCAGTAAGGTGTTTCCTTCAGACAACCAGCATAACAGCGATGCTGCCTTCCCACAAGGAGGGGTGAGGTTAGAAAAGGTCGACTCTAAAAATGCACACCTCGCCTTATCCCACGGATATCCGTCTCCGGCGGTAAGGTCCTTTGAAGAACGGAGCTAACACAAAAAGGTCGTGTGTGACCGACCTCAAGCAGTTGTCCCTTGGACACTGTGGTCACGCTCTCAGATCATTAAAACTACTTCTAACCCAATTTCCTTTTCGAGTACCTCTAGAAGAACCCTTCCACGGTGTGAGCAACTGGGAAGTGATAACTGCCCTCATACCTCTAACAGCACTCAAAACCACTGTATTCATAATCAATCTCCTTCCTCAATTCCTACTATTCCTTCTACCTTGACTTTCAACACTAAACTTCGTCTTCCGGTTTCCTCCTCAAGTATCACCATGGCCAACGATTCTAGTGCGCGAAACGCTGTCCCAGGTCTACTGAAACCTCGCTCCAAACTACACATTGGAGCCTTCAACGTACGTACCCTATGCAAAATCGGTCAACAGGCCTCCTTAGCTAAAACCCTGGAATCTCGTACCATTGATGTATGCTGTGTCACCGAAACACGCATACAGGATCCCAGTGTGGTCATTCACTTGACCTCACCTCGCCAAAATGGACAGCCAACGAAATACACACTCCGTGTATCTGGCGACCCGTTGGCTAGTTCTCGCAGACTTGCAGGTGTAGGCATAGCACTAAGTACAAGGGCAGAACAGGCACTACTAGAATGGATCCCCGTTAACAGTCGCCTGTGTGCTGTCCGGCTAAATGGCTCCGTAAGAACTCGGAAGGATAGGGACACACGTCGTTGCCTTTTCGTCGTTTCTGCCTACGCTCCCACCGACTGCAGCCATGATGAAGTGAAAGATGACTTTTACAGAAAGCTAAGCGCTCGGACATAGTAGTTGTAGCGGGTGACTTTAATGCCCAGGTAGGCAGCTTGAATCAAACAGAAAGACATTTAGGTGGGTGTTTTAGTATTCCGGCTCAACGAACCGATAATGGTGATCGTCTGTTGCAACTATGCTCAGACAATCGTTTATTTTTAGCAAGTACTTATTTTAAGCATAAGGAGAGACATCGTCTAACATGGCGACCACCTACACCAAACCAACGATGGGCTCAAATAGACCATATTGTATCAGTCATCGTTGGAGAGGCTCTATAGAAGATTGTCGCTCGTATTGGAATACTGTAGTGAACAAAACACTAGATGGGGACAATCGAATGTATTTAAGCAAAGATTACAGACTATCTCAGTAAATTCTGATTACCAAAGAATGAACAGTCAATTTGCAAATTAACAATCAATTGTTCCAATCTTCACTGTTTCTTCAATAATTCCATTGTTCATGCATTTTCCAGACGATTGCGCTTCATTTCAGTTCTTTCCTCATCGGTCTTCTGCCAAAATACATTCTATGTCTGACCCACACCATATACTACTTATATGGATATAAGTAGATCACACCACACTCGTCCCCCCTTTAAAGTATTCGTTCATGCGGTGGTTCTGCTCGCCGTGCCACTATCTTCTTCCACTGCAGTCTGTGCCAAACTCTCCGTCAGAATGTCGAGTCTGCGGCGCGCTGAACTCCGTCGACCTGCCGGGGCACCAACATCCGCACCCACCCGGCACCTGGGACGTTCAACACCCGTACTCCACCGCCCTGCTGAGCCATCTACATCCGATGTCCGCCCAGCAGCCGCACGTCCCACTGCTTCTCTCCGTCGACAGCACCTGCTACAGCCAACGCCTCCCGCCAGAACACTCCACTCGACGCCAACTCTCTGCACCAGACTGCCCCAACTAGCACCTCCACTCCAGACCCGCAGCGGCGTCCGCAGAACAGCACCCTTTCTCCTCCTGGTTGGCAGCGACACCAAATGTAGTGAACAAAACACTAGATGGGGACAATCGAATGTAGTTAAGCAAAGATTACAGACTATCTCAGTAAATTCTGATTACCAAAGAATGAACAGTCAATTTGCAAATTAACAATCAATTGTTCCAATCTTCACTGTTTCTTCAATAATTCCATTGTTCATGCATTTTCCAGACGATTGCGCTTCATTTCAGTTCTTTCCTCATCGGTCTTCTGCCAAAATGCATTCTATGTCTGACCCACACCATATACTACTTATATGGATATAAGTAGATCACACCACAATACTTGTTTAGACTCTGATCACGCTTTAATGCGAGCGCGCATTTGTCTGCGCCTCAATGGACGCAGGAAACGTACACTAAGAAGACCCATTAGGATTGAACTGGAGGACGAGAAAGCCAAATGCGAATTCCAGAAACAATTGAGTTCACATCTAGGCAGTTCTGTAAACGAGACTGACACAGATGCTGCTTGGAAAGACATACGAACAGCTGTGGAAACAGCAGTAACATCTATTAGTCATTTAAACCATAGGGCTCCAAAAAACCAGTGGATTTCCTCTAAGTCTATTTCACTAATGGATTCGCGTAAACTCATCCCATCAGGCTCTGAACATGACGAAGAGCGTAAAGAAATTAGATCTAAGTTAACTAAAAGTCTAAGGAACGATCGTGAGCAGTGGTGGGCAACGAAAGCAAAAGAGATGGAAAAGGCAGCGGCTGTAGGGAACACCAGGCAACTATTCAGACTAATAAAAGAAACCGGAATTAAGAAGTCAAGTGTAAGTGAGACAATCTCCGAAAAAGACGGAAACCTTATCTGCTCTCAACCCAAACGTTTAGAACGATGGGCGGAACACTTTAAGGAGCAGTTTAGCTGGCCTTCAGCTACTGCACAACTACCCACTATTCCCAGAAAACCTGAATGGAACATTGAAGTAGGCCCCCCGACCCTACTTGAAGTTCAAAAGGCTATAGGTAATGTGAAACGAGGAAGAGCAGCTGGTCCAGATGGATTGGTTCCAGAGGTCTTTAAATATGGTGGTCTAATTTTAGCAATTAGGTTGACTAATATTCTGGCTGAAATCTGGGAAACGGATGTAATCCCATCCGACTGGTCACAATCACTGATTGTCCCAATATATAAGAAGTGGTCAAAATCATCCTGCGATAACCATAGAGGGATTAGTCTGACTAACATAGTATCTAAAATACTAGCCTTAATAATAACTAGGACTCGTGAACTGCGAACACGAGAAAATCAGGCTATAGCAACCATCCTACAATCAATTTCGATTATAGCCAATTTTGGTTAAGCCCTTTTTATAACTTACTTAACAGACATTGTCATTTGAATAGTAACAATTTTCATATTCTTTGCACTGCTATACCACTAGAGCACATGACACTCTATCCGAAATGTTGACTGCTTAAATATCATTCGATGACTCATACTCCTCCCTATATGTGTACGCACGCAAATATTATTATCAGCCTTTGTTTTGCTTTGCTGTGCCCTTATTAAATCTGACTATAAATTGCCTATGTAATTGCTTGCTATTCGCTCGCTTGCTCCTCGTTCGTCTCCTTCGCTTGTTCGCCTGTTCACTCGCTCAGGTGTTGTTAGCTTTTTGACCTGAGTTATTCGACAATAAACTGAAGTTGCTGCTATCCTTTGTCTTCTGATTTTACGCACCGTTAATATTAGAATTATAACGGTTGTTGAAGTAAACGATTAACGAATCGCGGCACTACAGAATTGGAGGCCTCGCCGAGCGAACACAAAACAATTTTCGACGAGATAATTTCATTTCGAAAATTCAACGTACTCTGTTTCTATTCGAATTATTATTATTATTATCATTATTATTATTATCATTATTATTATTATTATTTTCATCGGTCCATTTCTGTTAGTGACAGTTACGTTATATTCGCATATTATTTAATTTTATTATTAATGTCTTTAAACAACGACACAATCGATCTTTCACAGTCACCATCCGTGGGAGTTTTTAATGTTACTATTCCCTCTTTTAATGTTACTGATCCTCAACTCTGGTTTATTAGACTTGAAAATTACTTCGAAGCCAATCGTATTCTTTTACAGCGACATAAGTTCGGCTATGCCAGCTCACTACTTCCAGATGAAGTAGCAGACAAGGTACGAGAGGTCCTAACCAAGCCGGATGCGCTAAATCCGTACGACGTATTGAAACAGGCAGTAATAAAAGCTCTCTCATTAAACGACCGGCAAGCTGTCGAGCAATTGCTCAGTGAAGTACAGATCGGAGATAGAACGCCTTCGCAATTAAAAACTTATATAATCAACATAATCGGAGACAGAAACGTGGATAAATATATATTTTACCAGTTATGGTTACGACGACTCCCACCGAACGTACAGCAGATCCTTGCTGTTGGAGATAGCGATGTAGACATAGACAACATCGCCAAAATAGCCGATAAGATCCACGAGAGAATGAGACACGCGACTCCACAAACGCTCAACTCCACAGTTGACGAAAGAATCGAGGCCTTGCAAAAGGAAATTAATGCGCTATGCCACAAACTAACGAGCCTAAATCACAACGACAGGAAAAGAAGTTGGTCGCGCAGCAGATCAAGAGATAGAAATCGATCATTTTCTAAGGGACTCCTAGATCCTACTATATGCTGGTACCATCAAACATTTGGGTACAAAGCTCGAAAATGCAGGTCTCCATGCAAATGTAAACGATCCCACCGTTTCTCAGTAACGACTACGAAAATCAACGCAGCTGCCAGGAGCAATCGTTTATTCTATGTTCAGGACAGAGTAACAGGCGCGCAATTTTTAGTAGACACGGGAGCAGAGATAAGCGTCGTCCCCCCATTGAGCAACGAAAATCAAAATATCGATACTGCACTAACTCTTAAAGCAGCGAATAGATCCGACATAAACACATATGGCAAGCGAAAACTAACCTTGAGTTTCGGCCGTAATATTTCACTTCGCTGGGAACTTGTAATCGCCGATGTGTCCGTATCCATAATTGGTGTCGATTTCTTAAAGAATTTTGACCTATTAGTAGATTCTCGACGAAACCAACTAGTGAATGGAGAACGCTCAGTAGTCATAAGAGGAGTGACCGCAGATCATGTATCTATGAATTTAGTAGTGTCGAGAGATAAGAACGAGGAATATAAGTCACTTCTAAATAAGTTCGCCGATTTGACGAGGGCGTCGTACGACAACAGAGATCTTAAACATACAGTACAGCACCACATAATCTTCAACAGTTTCATTCGTCTCCATTTCGAATGCGGAAACATAGATTTTCCTCCCTCCCTCCAAAAGGATAAGGACACTCTAAAGAATATCCAACGTCGAGCCACGAAATCAGTTCGGGGACTCAAATTCAAACCTTATGAAGAGCGCCTCCAATCACCTAACCTTTACCAATTAGAGTATAGGCGTCTTAGAGGTGACCTTCTTATGACTTACAGTATCTCTAACACCTTTGGTCATCTCCTTAAACATCTACCTAAGCTTAGTCACAACATCAACCTAAGGGGTAACACCCAAAAACTGGAGACCCAACACAACAGAACAGACTGCAGACACAACTTCTACTCCGTAAGAGTTGTCAAATGCTGGAATTTGCTGACGACTGAGCTAGTCGAAGCGACTTCCCAGGAGTCCTTCAAGAGGAAACTTGACCTACTTTTAAGGACTAAGGATAACATCTTATAATGATTTACCAATTTCTTTTTTCCTCTATTATAGTCATTATACCTAGATCCCTTAATGAAGGTATTGGTGATCCACTGTTACTGAACGCGGATATCCGTTTAGGGAAAGCTTCTTCTATTCCGTCCACAACCATTTGAACCATTTGAATTCAGACTTTACAACTCGAGACATCAGCATTTTGAAAAATCGTGCCACACGTATCATCTGTGTATAGTATCTTTAACTGATAATTTATACTGAATACGCAGTTTTGCGGACCCCAACGAATTCTAAACAAGGAAAGTGAGGTTCAGTAGGGTAATTGGTATCCCAGGTCAAGTTACGTAGCAACAAAAGAGCCAAGTTGTACACTACAAAACACAGTAAGCACAATAAACGCTTTTGGCATTGATTTTGCGAATTTGCTACAGCCAAAAAAGACGCAAATACAAGAAAACTTGATATTCGTGCAACCCAGAGGACAACCAACCGACCCTCAACAAATCAAATACGGAATGACCGCCTCGTGTCAGGCCGTTCAAGGTCGCAAAAAGGAAACGGCGGGCAGGTTTGAAAACGCACTGACTTATTTACCTTGCCCAGGTGAACGGTTTCACGGAGAAACTGGATCTAAAATGAATGAATGAACCTGAAGCAGCCACACTTATAACCAATCGACCATTATCATTACGGTGGTCTACGTTACAATAATCTATTGATTCGGTTGCACGCTAAGTATAAACTGGCGGCTTTTTTATGAGTTGTTGGTTTCCCCACAGCGCAATATTAACTTGTTTGTCAACCGTAAAGAACAAAGTTTATGGTGTGTCGCTCACAAAGACCAATTTACTATTTGCGAAATCAAACTCCTAGGAGAGTTCGGCGCCGACGCTATATTGGAAATTTTGATACAGATGGAACAGAAATGGCTTTCCTTTTGTGTTTAGTATTAATAATTTTATTCGCGTTACTGTCCACAGACTCATTTGTTGAGAAGACTTCTAGAGATTTGTCAGGTTAGTTATATTCTCCACCCCTGGTCTCTTGTGAACTCAATTTTTTCATGCAATTTCCATCATGATGCACATGCTGTTTAACCCTGCTTTATGTGCATTTGGTCTCGTGTTTCTTATAACTGAGTTCTTAGGTTATCTCTATATATGTAGTAACGGTGCTGTTGTATTTCCTGTAACAAGAGAATGGTTTGTCCGATGTGCTTTTTACACCTTATACTTATGATAGGTTTTTGTTTAGATGGTCCTTCCCACTTTTAATTTCCATGTCAAATATTTTGCTGATAGTAATATATGTTGGCACCAGACACTATGAAAACAGTTAAAGGAAAGGCATTGACCGACATCAAGGCCTTCCTGTGTTATGTCCCATGTCTCACATATTCAACTCGTTTTGTCGTACACGGCTCGCCGCTCATATCATGTTCGAAATTATTTGTACAACAGCCTTTAGAGAAGAGTCGTCAATTAATTAGTTCCACATTTGTTTATGGTGCAGAGCTGAACTGGAAATTTGAGTTCAACGGTGTAGTATTTCATAGTTCCAACAGGACTTAACGTATGACTATTTGATTCTGTACCATACGATCCCAATGTGAACTTTATGGCATGAAATTTAGACACCGCAAAACGACGTCACCGACCTCTGTCACACTTTAACTCGTTATCTCGATATTCATCGTAATCGTAGGTCTCCACGTTTAAAGATACGTAAGGCAAACATACTGGTCAGTCAGTTAGTCACAACGTAAAACTTTGTACGTACGTACATCAGTTCGAGTTGCCATACCACATTAGCACAGAGATGCAGTTGTCGATTCAAATCCCATAGTGGTAGAAGTAGTAGGAGTATAATCAGAAATCCAAAAGATTAGGGTTTGAAGAAATTATTGAAGGAGTATAGTACAGTGAAATCAATTTGGAAAGAGAAAAACATAAAGACATGAGGAATTCAGAAGATTAGAATTTGCTAGAACACAAAGAGTGGATGCATCTTCGCCATTGCAAACGATTTTGAGCCATGTCATTCAAGGTCTCTAACCATCGGTTGCTGTCATCTCGCGAATCCCAAGCAGGTAGTCTGCACCTACCAACATGGCCCAGTCCACTTGTCAGTGACTTCATAGATTTGTTCCACGTTTTGGTCTGGCCACCCCTAGCTTTCTTCCAACCTACTCCTACACCATGAAACATTGCACGTCGGGGCAGTCGGTGGTCGGGCATACGTAACACATGTCCTAGCCATCTCAACTGATGAAGTTTCACTACTTCATCAATCGATTTGCCATCCCTACCTAGTACTCGTTTCCTAACAACTGCATTACTTACCCGGTGGTCCCAGGATATACGAGCAATGCTTCGAAGACACCTATGATCGAACACTAGTAGCCTACGAATATCCTCTACTCTTATTGGCCATGTTTCACTGCCATAAAGTAGGACGAAGCGAACTGCTGCACAGTAAACCCTTCCTTTGGTTGCTAGACGGATATCTCGCCTACGCCATAAATGACGCAAGTTGGCGAAAGCTAGACGAGCCTTCTGTATCCGTACTGAGATTTCGTCAAACACCAGACTACAAGGGCTGATGAGACTCCCAAGATAAGTGAAGTGGTCTACACGCTCAACTACTTCACTCCCTATCATTAGTTCAGGTGTCGCTGCAACCCAATCCTGAAGTAACATTTTGCACTTCGAGGGAGAGAATCGCATCCCGAACATGCCTGCATTGTTGCTTATAGTGGTCAGAAGACTCTGCATTTTGTCAGCGTCTTCACCGAGTAAAACTATGTCGTCGGCGTATTCTAAGTCAACAAGTGAGCCTCCTGGTAAAAGTTCAACTCCTGGAGGTTTAGCTGATGAAAGTGCTATCTCTAAAAGTATGTCAATGACAAAGTTAAACAAGAATGGTGAGAGTGGACAGCCCTGACGAACGCCACTTGTGGTAATCGGTTCTGATGACAGTTCGCCATAGGCTCTAACTCGACCAGTTGTGTTCGAGTAGAGAGCCTTTATGAGGTTAATGTACTTCTTTGGTACTCCTTTCAGTGACAAACATTGCCATAGAACCTCACAATCAACGGAGTCAAATGCCGCCTTAAGGTCAAGGAATACTACTATTGTGGGACGTCTGAATTTGTGTCTATGTTCTAGAACCTGGCGTAGGGTGAATATCTGGTCTATGCAACCACGTTCAAGTCGAAAACCAGCCTGGTTTTCTCTAGTCTGCTCTTCACGAGCTTTGGTTAGGCGACCTAGTATTATTGAAGCTAATATTTTAGACACTATGTTAGTCAAGCTGATCCCTCTGTGATTGTCACAAGAGGTCTTTTTTCCTTTCTTATAGACTGGCACAATCAGTGATTGGGACCAGTCAGATGGAATTACGTCCAGTTCCCAGATTCTACCTAAGACCTCAGTCAATCTCGCTGCTAGTACTGGACCAACATCCTTAAAAATCTCAGGGGTCAACCTGTCAGGGCCTGCTGCTCTCCCTCGCTTCAGATTTCCTATAGCTTTTTCAACCTCACAGAGGGTTGGAGGACTCACATCAATTTGCCATTCAGGACGACTGGGGATCGTGGGTAATTGAAGTGTGGCTGAAGGCCAGTTGAACTAATCCCTAAAGTGTTTTGCCCATCGATCCAATCTCCTGGATTGAGAATGAATAATATGCCCATCTTTATCTGAGATGGTTTCACTGATATTCGGGTTCCTAATACCGGTTTCTTTAACGAGTTTGAATAGCTGCCTACTGTTACCTATTGCCGCTGCCTTTTCCATCTCTCCTGCTTTCGCTACCCACCACTGTTCACGATCATTACGTAGGCTTCTTATAAGCCTGCGCTTAAGTTGACTCCGCTCTTCGTTATGCTCAGAGCCAGGTGGGATGAGTTTACGAGCATCTATCAGTGCGGCAGATGCTGCTGAGATCCATTGTTTCTCCCTGACCTTATGGCTTACCTTACTAGCGGATATCACTGCTGTTTCCACAGCTTTTCGGATGTCATTCCACGCTGCTTCAGGGTGGGCACAACTTACATGTCTGTCTAACTGTTTTTCCAGTTGTTCCTGAAATATATTCTTAGCTTGCCTATCATTGAGTAGAACCCTTAGAGGCTTCCCTGCAGTGTCTTTCCTACGACCAGTAAGACGCAGACATACGTGCTCGCACTAGAGCATGATCTGAATCTAAACATGTGCCCCAGGATGAGCGACAGTCTTCTATCGAGCCCCTCTATCGGTGGCTGATAGCGATGTGATCTAATTGGGTCCAACATTGGAACGAATTCGGGGTTCGCCATGTCAAAAGATGTTTTTCTCTATGCTTAAAGTTAGTATTTGCAAGAAATAGGCGGTTATCTGAGCATAGCTGCAACAGACGGTCGCCATTATCTGTTCTTTTCGCCATGACACCATAAGATCCACCCAGGTGTCTTTCCCTTTCACTTAGTTTACCTACTTGAGCATTAGTCACCTGCTACTATTACTACATCAGAACGCCTAGCTTCTCGGAGAAGGTCAGAAAGTTTCCTGTAGAACTCATCTTTTATATCGTCTGAGCTGCAGTCAGTGGGAGAGTAGGCAGAGACGACGAAGAGGCAACGACGAGTTTCCCTATCTCTCCGGGTCCTTACTGATCCGTTTAGTCGGACAGCGCTTAGACGACTGTCTACTGGGATCCAGTCTAAAAGAGCTAGTTCTGCCCTAGGACTTAATGCTATACCTACTCCAGCGAGGCCACGGGAAGCAGCATCAGGGCTTCCAGATACGCGAAGCGTGTATCGAGATGAAACTTTATTTTGATTAGGTGCGGTCAAATGAATGACACTACTCGGATCTTGTATGCGCGTTTCGGAGACGCAGCACACATCGATGGTGTAAGATTCTAGAGTCCTAGCTAAGGAAGCCTGTTGTCCTATTTGGCACAATGTTCGGACATTAAAAGTTCCTATATGTAGTTTAGAGCGTGGTTTCAGGAGACCAGGAATAACGTTCTGTGTACTCGAATCGTTTGCCCTAGCGGTGCGAAGTGATAAAAGGACGTGGGATGGGTTAGTCGTGGAGATAACAGAGTTATTAGGTGTAGGAAGGATTCGAAAGCGACCAACTTGGTCTCGTGTGCTGTTACGGGTATGAGGGCTAGTATCACTTCCCGGCTGCCCACACCGTGGAAGGGTATTTCTTGAGGGACCTGAAAAAGAAGTCGGATCAGTGTTGGTCTTAACGACCTGGGAGCGTGACCGCAGTGCCCAAGGGACATCTGCTTGAGGCCAGTCACGCACGGCCTTTTTGTGGGGGATTTTTGACGTGTTAGCTCCGTTCTTCAAAAGTCCTTACCGCCGGAGACGGAAATCCGTGGGATAAGGCGATGTGTGCATTTTTAGGGTCGACCTTTTCTAACCCCACCCTTCCTTGTTGGAAGGCAGCATCGCTGTCATGCTGGTTGTCTGAAGGAAACACCTTACTGCTTTCACACCTCTGTACAGTCAGTAGTACGACTTCGCCTTCGGACCTTGGGATTGCTGCTTTTAGTCTCACCGCTCTTCAACCGACCTGTCTGGCATGGTGGGACCTTGAGGAACGATTGTTCCAGCCAGTATAGCTCGATTGGATCATCACGATAGGCAAGCCCGACCACCACGTCAAGGTAGCAGCAACGGTCGGGAAAACATACTGGTTGTGACGTGTCGGTTAAAATCTCACAGTAGTCCTTTAACTACTGCGAATCTTGCAAATGTGTCTGCCACGCCGTGCTCGTTGAAATCAGCTTCTGCGTATCAGAACCACGCTTCTATATTATCGGGCCAAAATGGCGTTAGCTGGATGGTGGAAGGTGAAAAAGGTTTGCTGTTAGGTAAATTAGGTGTCTGTTCCATCATGATGAAGATATGATATACCGATAGGCGAGAAAAAATATCACAATATGTAAAAGTAAAAGTTAAAAAGTGATACACAGTGTACTGATAAGGATAAGACTCACAATTTACGTCGGTTTCACCACTAAAGATGCCATGTCTTCGGAATTTGACGACACCTTTACACGTAATACATTTATAATCGAAGTATGCCAATCCAGTCGAGTCAAAACTCAGAAATCGAAGAGGTTCGAAGATATATTTGAAAAGCAGTCGATATATGGGGAATCGTTTAGTATAATCTGGTTAACGGTTGTAAGGGGTGTGTAGCACGGCGTACCCACTCGTGATCTGGTGCGGATGCGTGACCGAGCAGCCTCATCTAGGTGTGTCCGCCAAAACGAATCAGGTCAACATCGAATGTCGAAGACTTACAGAACTCTTTATTTTGGAGATTTTTTGGCCGTCTGCTGTCTCAAAAGGAAGCTAGATACGGATGGTCCAGTAGACAATGATTTTATTTCCGTCTTTTTATTTTGCTATTACTTTGTGGCTAGTGGGTTTGAGCTAAATTTCTGCTTTTGGACTGGGATGTGGACGCTCAAAACAATTTGATCTCGGTGTTTTTTTCCGCACTCGGTGTATTTGTTTTTTTATTATTTTGTAGATACACTCGTCGTACGAAATTCTTGTCCATCAACTTCGGAAAAGCATTTATCATTAGAAATCATTCTTTCTCCTACGATATCACATCTTTCATGTATTTACAATTTCTTGACGCCTATGCATGATGTTTTAAATACTACTGACAGTATCCTCAATGTAAATTCACATATCGATCTTCAATTTTCTTATGAGCTACTCCCGTATAACAATTCCACAAATGTTTCAATAATAGATTACACGAACCTAAACTTCTTACCTGATCTTTCTGTTTGGAACGACAGATCCATCCTTATTTTCGCAACACATCGCCTCTATTTCTCGTCTAAACCCACCTGTCCTGAAGTATATGTATGTGCGATTCCTAATAATGGACACAATAGTACTACCTGTCACACTGACTTAGGTGAAGTAAGTTAACCGAACCATTATCCTATTGTTTATCGCTTTCATACGATTCCTTTGCCGAGTACATGTTTGTTTATCCAACTTTAATTCGCTTTTTGTACGTTAGTGGTACCATCCATTTCCTTAGAGTGCGGTAAGTGGAGCGAGGTTTGTACTTCATTCTTGTTGAAGGAGTAGTGCCTTAACTACTAACCCACCATTCCACATGTCCATTATTTCATAACAAGGTTTAAAAATTGTCTACTTGTCAAAATAAATACATTCCTTCTTTTTCCGGAATTACTTTTGATGTTTGGTTAGCCTTCGCAAAGTTTATGAGGTACATCTTTCAATGACCTCGGAAGTACATAAGTCAGCTACAACGTAGGACCAGGCACATTTCTGCATCGGTCCAAGTTGCCATACCTCTTTAGCACAACAAGATGAACACCGAATTCATAGAAATAGTTAATTTAGTGGTGGTAGTATATAAAGAAAGGTTGTATATAGAGATATAGTGTAGGAAGGAGGAAAGTTATGAAGCAATTTTAATCCCAAGGTTTAAGGGAAGATAAAGAGTGTATACACCGACGCCACTGTGATCGATTCTGAGCCATGTCACCTAGAGTCCCCAACCATTGGTTACGATAGTCACGCGGACCCCAACCAGGTAGTCTGCATCTACCAACATGGCTCAGACTAGAAGTTAGTGTCTTCAAGCACTGATGTCACGTTTTGGTTTGGCCGCCCCTAACTCTCTTCCAACCATCCTCAATACTAGTCAGCATAGCGCGTCGTGGTAATCGGTGTTCAGGCATACGTAACACATGGCCCAACCATCTCAGTCGATGATGATTCATGACCTCACCAACTGACTTAACATCATTAACTAATATCCTGTGTCTAACCTCACTATTACTTACCTGGTGATCCCAGAAGATGCGAGCAATATTTCTAAGACATCTGTGGTCAAATACTAGTAACTTGCGAGTATCTTCTATTCTTGATGGCCACGTTTCGCAGCCGTGAATTAGAACAGAGCGAACTGCTGCGCAGTATACTCGTCCCTTAATTGATAGACGGATATCTTGTCTTCGCCATAGGTGACGTAAGTTGGCAAAAGCCAAACGAGCTTTTTGAATCCGTGCTGAGATTTCGTCAGACACCACCAACCCATTAGGGCTGATCAGACTTCCAAGATAAGTGAAGTTGTCGACACGTTCGACTACTTCACTCCCTATCCTCAGTTCAGGTGTTGACGCAGACCAGTCCTGGAGTAACAATTTACATTTGGATGGGTAGAAACGCATCCCAAACATCCTGGCATTATTACTTAGTTCTAACTGAGGAAGTACATAAACTTTGTGAAGGCTCTTTACTCGAACACTACCAGTCGAGTCACAGCTTATGGCGGACTGTCATGTGGTTTCACAACCTCTAGTGGTGTTCGACAAGGCTATCCACTATCTCCATTTTTTTTTAACTTCATCATAGACCTACTGCTGGAAATAGCACTCTCGTCAACTGAATTTCCGGGCAGTGATCTCCTTCTAGGAGGTTTATTTGTTGACTTAGAATACACAGATGACATAGTCTTGTTGGTGAAGACGCTGATAAAATGCAGTCTGTTGTATCCCGAAGTGAATTATGAATGGTAACTTTTGAGGACTATTTGTGGACCAATGTAATATGTATATTTCCTATTGTACAATTGTTACGTAACTAACCTAATCATATTCGTGTTCCTCTTGTCATTAGCTTTATTTTGACCTTTGAACTATTATTATACGATTCTTGAGTTATCATCATTTTATTGATTACTTTCCTCCTATTCACAGCCACGTTTGGCTAAATATTGTACAAATATTATTTTCTATTTTATGGTACGATGTGGTCTGTTTGGTTGGTATATAAACCCAGTATGTTTGTGAATAATTATTCATATTGCAGAGGCTGTTATCGGTGTTTTGGACTTAACTGGCTGGATTAGGCAGATCGCAGGACCGGTTAGCGCTCTAGACTGCTCGTACGGTATCGTGTGCCACTGTTCCAATCAATAATTCGCTGCTCCCTGATTAGCCACGTGTATACATCCTCTACCAGAGAAGTACTACTCACTGCCTTCTCACGGAGGCGTGTTGTTTACGAAATTGAGAAGACAAAAAGCAAATGTCCAGCGCTCTAACCGGGCCGGTGAACACGGCGAGTCCACCTAGGGGAGTTGGAAAACCCTGATTCCAAACCAGTGGTGCACATGGGCTCCAGGATCCTGAGGGAAAAAGTGGAGTATGAATCAATCGTTGGTCACCGGCCACCATGGGACTGCATCTCCTTACGATGCTCCACTGCCTTGTGGATCAGATCTTTAGGTCAAAGGCTCGGGGTGCGGCCCCCCAAGATAACCACCTGCTTCGGTCTGGGTACCCGGGCAGTACGACAGCTCTCACATAAATCTTATGAAATTACAATTACTTCATGGAGTACTATGCTCGCTCGAATTAGAATTGAGACATTTCTCATTCACTTGATAACACTCACTTTTATTATTATTATTACTAGTATTATCATTTTATACTACGTTACTTATCTTCCTGTATTCTCACTTCATGTACTCCCATATTTCAACTTATACAGCAGCTCGCCCATAGTGGAAACTCTGTTCCATCTAAACGATCTCCAGTCACTGTCTGGTCAAAAGTGAATGCTTCCACGAAATTCGAATACTGAACCAGTCTTTCTGAAACTACGTACACCATTCAAACTAGCTTCCTTCAACGTTCGCACACTAATGCAGATCGGACAACAGATGTCTTTAGAAAGTCCTAATATCGACGTTTGTTGTCTATCCGAGACCCGTATTCAAAAATCTAGTGATGTACTACAAATTCGCTCTCCATCTGTCTCTTCAAAAGGTTTGTTTTACGTGCGTTTACTCGGGGACCTTGTGGCATCTTCATCTAGTTTTGCTGGCGTTGGTGTCACACTAAGCGCTAGAGCTGAGGCAACACTAATCGACTGGATCCCCACTAACAGTCGGTTATGTGCTGTTAAATTAGAAAGCTCCATCAAAGTGAGAAATCGGCGTGAGAAACTATGTCTATTCATCATCTCCGCCCATGCTCCGACAGATTGCAACAGATGCAATCAAGGATGAATTTTACTACTGGTTAACTGTTCTACAGAAGGTGTATTCGACAGATATTGTAGTACTATCCGGATACTTGAATGCACAGATCGGGCGTCTAGGCACAGAAGAGAGTCGTTTAGGTGGCCGATGAGGACTTGGTGGTTGCAGGACAGATAAAGGGGATCGTCTACTGCAAGTGTGCACAGACTACAACCTGTTTCTGGCTAGCACTAACTTCCGGGACAGTCATCCTTGGCGTGTCACCTGGCATCCTCCCTCTGTATCTCAAGCCTGGACTCAGATTAATCACATCGCGATCAGCTACCGCTGGCGTGATTGTGTACAAGACTGCCGCTCCTTTTGGAGTACCTATCTGGACTTTGATCATGTCCTGGTCTGTGTCAACCTTACCTTACTTTCCAGCGGCCAACGATTTGATCGTCATCAACGGATTGATGTCAGTGAATTGGTTGCAACTTCTGTTACAAGTAAGTATCAAACCGAGCTTCTAGGCTAGCTACCATCCCCCCGAAAAGTGTAGATAAGCATTGGTTGCAACTGCATGACGCCATAAAAGTGGTGAGCAAAGCTGCTTGCGGCTTTGCGAAACGTCCCGCTTACAAGCACTGGGTTTCTTCTGGCTCCTTACAACTGATGGAAGCCCGTCGGTCTACTCCGGGTGACCGTGAGTTTGACCACAAACGAAGGCTGTTACGTAATGAAATTGGGCAAAGCTTGCGTAAGGACCGAGAAGCCTGGTGGTCGGAGCGTGCTAATGAGCTGGAAGCAGCAGTTGCATCTGGTAACTGCCGGAAGCTCTCCCAACTCATTCGAGCCACTGGCAGCAAGAAGTCTGGTGTGAGTGAAACAATCTGTGAAGATGACGGGATGCCAATCACTACCATCCATCGACGTCTTGGACGATGGGCAGAATTCTTTGAAGGGCAGTTCAACTGATCTGCTCCGGCAACATCGATCAGATTGTTTTGTCCTCCATGGCCGGTGACGAATGCTCCACTAAACGAGGCGAAAGTCCACAAGGAACTCCAATTCTTAAATCGCTACAAATCACCGGGCCCAGATGAATAACCTCCGGCTCTTTTTAAAGATGGTGGCGATTTTCTGGTTAAGGAACTGACTGTGTTGTTTACAAAGATCTTGGAGTTAGAGAGTGTTCCAACGTCATGAAATAAGTCGATAGTTGTCCCTATCTTTAAAAAGGGCTCACGTTGTTCCTGTAGCAACTATCAGGGGGGATAAGTTTACTTCCAATTGAGTCCAAACTATTGGCTTCTGTCATAGGTTGTTCAAAATCCGAGAAAGAAGTGCAAAGTACTTCTACAAAACTGGCAGGATTCTAATCCTTTACTCACCCTGGGTGGTGAGGAGATTGAAGTAGTCGAGAAGTTCGTGTATCTAGGTAGCTGCATAAGTTCTAGTGGTGCCGTGAATGATGAGATCAGCTCACGTATAGTGAAAGGCAGAGCGGCTTACGCCAATCTGGGCCATCTTCTGTGCCTTCGTGATGTTAGTCTGGCTGTAAAAGGTCGGATCTACAACGCATCTGTGAGAGCAGTGTCGCTCTACGCTTGTGAAACCTGGCCTCTCCGAGTTGAGGGTGTTAGACTACTCTTTGTGCTCGATCACCGTTGTCTCCGAAGGATTGCTGACATCCAGTAGGAACACCATGTTAGTAATGCAGAGGTTCGGGCGCAGAGACGACAACCCAATTGGTGTCACCATCTTGAAACATCGACTTCGGTGTCTTGGGCATGTCCTACGAATGTCGTCCCGGTGAATTCCACGTCGTGCATTATTTGCCTACTCTGGGACTGGTTGGAAAAAGTGGAGAGGAGGTCAGTGTATGACATGGTATCATGGTTTGAAAGAAAGTTGCAGAGAGCTGGCTGCCTTCCAACCACCATCGTTTCTCAAGACGATCAGAAGATTGAATTTCTATGGCGTCTCCACCAAATAAAACCATATCAACCGGGTATTTTAAGTCAACAAGAGTCCGCTCTTGAATGGTCAAACGACGAGTGTTATCGCTCAAAAATTGTCCTCGATAAAGGTCAGAAATTAGCCTGGTTTTCCTGCGTTTATCCTTCACGAGCCCTAGTCAGGCGTTGGATGATTATTGCAGCTAATGTTTTAAACCCTGTTAATTAAATCGATTCCTCTGCAGCTATCACAATAGGATTTTTATCTTTTCTTGTAGACTGGAACGATCAGTGATCAAGACCACTTGGATAGGATTCAGCCAAGTTTCCAGACTCTAGCTAATATCTCAGTCAATTTAACAACTAAAACTAAATCATCCTTAAGGATCTCTGTAGTTAGTCCACAAGAACCTGCTACTCTCCCTCACTAGATTAGCTATGACTTTTTCTACTTTTATAGTCGGGGCGGTTATGTTAACATTCTATTCAGGTCGGTTAGTATTGACTTTTACATCATTAAGTTAAACTCTATGTGATACTCTTGCTGTGGCTTTTCTGATTCCAGTAAGACGCAAAAAATGCATCCTCATACTGGAACATTATCATTCTGTTGGAACACTGTATAAATAATTCTAAGGCATGACAATGTCTTCAAGTTTAGCAGAGGTGATATGACCAATACTAATACTTTAAAATACCGGCCTTCTTGCGGCTTATTATTTTTCGACTTTTGGAATAGGTACAATAGACGAAGAGATAATTTATCGCGTATTTCTGTTTCGGTTCGGGCACTATCACAGCCCTCGCACAAATCGAATGATTTATGTGGCACATCTATTTGGTGCCTCCTTGTACCGATGTTTGTGTTTAAATAAATAAATTCTGTAACAGAGGAAAGTTATGTTGAATCGGCACTCGCTTTTCCATCATAGTTCTCCAGACGGACCCAAGGGATCATTCAACTTGGGGGCTCTAGACGTCATCAAAAATAGCACAGAGTAGAGGTCGTTGTCAGTTCAACCGTTTCTTGTTTCATTCTCCACAAATAGCAAGTTAAATCAATTTGTATGAATTCCGTCTTCATGTTTCTTTGCTTCGTTAATGACTTGGACTTCCGTTCTTTTACTTCTAGATAACCCTCCAACTTTAATTTGTCCACAAATTGTCATATGGAATATTTTTTTACAGTTCTGTTGTGCTCAACATTTTGAGTAAGTATTGAAAGCAAATAAGGTGTTTTGAAATCTTCACATGCATTAAAAACAATGTTTTAAAACGTATGAGATGCTAGCGCCCTCTCAATTATTATGTAATTTTTTGTAGAGATAGTAAGTGGAGACTAATTGACAAAGCATGTGGACTACAAACATATATAATTGTGAAGTTTTTTCTTTTTAATTTCTTTAGTCGCTGCAAATACGAAGTACATTTCTATTTATTTTTAAGGTTAGTGGAAGTTGTGAAGATGAAATCAATGACCCATATTTCTTCATGTTCCCACTTGCTACTGGTCTGAAAATTTCAGTTAACAATGTTGGTGAATATCCGGGTGTACATAATAACAGCATGCATATAATTGTCACCTCTGGTTGTAAGTTAGAAATCGTTTGGCTTTCAAGCTCTATTTGAACTAATCCCTTTGTACGAAAAAGTCCATTTACGGGTGATTTTTCTGCAATGTCAAGATATAATGTTATTTTATAAACAGAAAACATTTTGCGTGGCTTCATAGTTATATAGGTTTTTAAACTCTGAGTACCATTACTGTTCCACTGTCTTTTTTTTAGAGAAGAGCATTCAAAACGATTTTGCCCTAGTGTTCATTAATCACTGTTGACTGTTTCATAAAGCCAATTGATTAGTCTTAAATTACACTCAGTCACTCCATCATCCAACAGCAATCCTGTAAATGTATTTGGTCGGATCTATCCAACATCCTGTTCCTTACTTTAAATAAACATTTCCTGCAGTCCTATTTTAAGTTAGGAATAATTTATGTGCTATTCGTACTACAAACCAAGAGGTATGTTTATTAATTGGAGTCAGGAATTCTTGAAATAGGTTCGACTGATAGGTAGCTAAATTTTAATTACCTTCAGATTTTCCTGAATAGTCATGGCTACACCCTCTAGAATGGGTTTACTTGACTCACTTTTCTTTAGTTGAGACACACTGGAGATGGGAATGGTTCTTTGCTAGTATAAATTTCCTCTCACTGCTGTATGATTTTTGAACCATTAAATCAGTGTAAGATTTGCAGTCAGGGTAAAGCGACCGTGTATAGATCCAGCAAGCTCTAGATTATACTACGTTCGACTGATCGTTATATGAATGAGTTATACAATTGACGTTAGTGAAGAGCTAAGGCCAGTCAGATCAAGTTACGGTATCTTCCCATATAGCTACTGGATATTTATCTGTTGTTACAAAAATCCCATTTAAGGGGGGCCTGCGGGATAAACGTGATCTATGATCTAAGCCGTTTAGTGGTTCGGCTTAAAACTAGTCACGCTAGTGTAGCTTTATTCATTTTTAATCTTCTTAGTCATGAGTTAATTATTGTTTCATACTTTTCATTACATGACATTTTTTCCTTTAGAACTAAGTATTTCGTGCTTAACTTCCCATCGAAGATGATATTTCTTCTTATTTGCTTTTCATCTTGGTGTTGTTTATCTCTGTAATGATATGCGGTGTTGATCAATGCATATTTGTGCCATGTTTTATGTTACTTAGACTGATTGATGATCAGTTGTATGAAATGAAGCAATACTTTTGGTTCTTATCATAAAATCTAGTTACCTTGACCTTCAAATCACTGTATCTAAAATACTGTCCAAAGAAATTAGTTAACGTACAGTGATTGAGATCAGTTTTAATATAAGATCCATATAACAAAATAATATAAGGGTCATATTGAATAACATTACTACTCTATATCTTATATTCAGTGTTATATGTGTAGTCGTACTATTGATTAGATGAATTGTAATTATTTTGGTATTAATTCTGTTACTTCTGTTATTTCTCATTATAATTTAGATCGTTTACCACCGGGTGTTTTCACTTGTCCATTGGGCTTTTTTGCTTGTGATACATTTGATAAAATAAATGAACGTCGCAATTCTCCGTTGCAATGGCCCTATCGTATCTGTTTACCTATACGATTATGGTGCGATAATGTGTTGAATTGTCCAATAAGTGGTTCGGATGAACAAAATTGTTCATTTACACCTCCTATAAGCTTTCCACACACGAAGTTCCAGATTGAAAACGAATATCGAATGCTGAATGATGTTTTAAATCAATTTGAAAAGAATACAAGTTTATTAGAATTTGTTGGCTATCGAAAAAAAACTTCTGAACAACCGATCACTATGCTGCTTTTTGCATACGTCAATACGTTTTGGTTATCCCTTATACTACCTATATTGATTTTGATATTTATTATAACTATTTTATTATGTGTATATAAATTATTAAAACGCAAACGTGAATCTGGTACAGTGAGAGTTACTGAAGTAAAAGATTATCCTACAAACTCTGAAAGCTGTAATGATGATACATTAAAAAATAGTATAAACAATGATCATTATTCAAAGAATGTTTACTCTGAAGATCAATTAAATAAAAGAGAAACTCCTAATGATGATTTTCAAAATAATAATAACAGTAATGGTAGTGGTAATGATGATTATCATAAATTTTTACCAAGTGATGTTAATTATCTGAATGGTCATTTGAATTCATTAGGTAACCAAGAGATAGCTCCACTCATTAATGTAACACATAAACAATAGTAAGCAATTATGATGGTCTATGAGATAGGAAGTGCTCTTGACAATATATCTATTGTTCATTTGATTTTATAGATTATTTTATAAATTATTAATTCACTGTTAGCTGCATTGTACTTTCTTTAATTTCTTTAACGTTGTCTACACTTTGCATCTATTATCTGTGCTTGGTACATTTTGTGTTTTGAGATTGTGCGTATATCTTTTTTTTAACGATACAAATGTCTTAATACCCGGTAGGTTCGGAGAAATAAAATCTTTTTCGTAGCATATTGTGCTTTAGTGCTCGACCAAAATTTATATTTATTCATCCGAGTTGATTATCTTTCTGGTATCCATATTGATTTTCATCCAGACTGGTGATTATCCTTTCATCGTTTATATATTGTAAAATTTTCCTAACTTACCATTCATTCAGTTATTTGGTTCCAGAAAGAAAATCATTTAAAAATCACTCTATCTGTTGTGATTAGAGTTATTTATGACATTTAAATGTATTGCTAGAATCACATTACATCTGTTCTCATTTATCCATTTTGTTATACTCACTATGGCGTACCAGTTACCGATGTATATGTAACGTCATTATTTTGCATTTTTATACATTTTCTGATTATTAATAATAAGACAATATTTTTGTCATAATCCATATATAAGGCAATTCTTTCTTACCACATAAATTTTATTGTCACAATTGTTTACTGTTGAAATCGATTACTGATGTTACTCTGGTTAACATTGGTAATGATTACCAAGGGAAACTTTGGGTATGTAGTGTAAACGAGCATATATTAAAAGAGTTAGTAAGTATTTTTAATACTGAGATTTAGTCAGTATATCAATCTAAAAATACCTGTTGGCTTTTTCTGCTTAATGATTGAATTAAGTGGGAAGATGCTAAACTGATGATTTGAAACGTCTCAGGATTACTGATGGTAATTTATTATTAGGCCCCAATGTAAGAATAATCCATTTCTGCTCACCTCTATCATTGGCCTAGTGAGTAGGCATTTGCGTGCAAGATCGAACGTTTAAGGTTGAATTCCTGGACACATACTGCTGCAGAGTTTCATATTAGGACTATTTAGTTGTCGAGTGCTTCTTGGATTTTAGTGTCAATCTATCTAAGATAGGTTTGCTCTTTAGAATTTTGAAATTCTATAACCTCCACAAAAAAAATCGTTACTTGTTTTGGCAACCAACGACATCAATGTGGTTACAAATGCACTCAATTATTTTTGCATAGGATACGTACGTGGCTGAATTTCTATAGCTTAAGTTGGTCTTCAGACTACATATATGGAAAACCGCGTTATTTTGAAAGACAAACGTAAAGGATGTATTTAAAAAAACTAACGCAACAACTGTCATGGAGCCACATGTTTTTGATTCAATGTGCGGAATATTCGCATATAACCAATTCCATTGTGCCTATGGTTCAAAACAGATAAAATCAAATGTCTAGGGAAATATCTGTGTATCACCTTTAAAGTTTAGTTGACTATTAGGTCACTAGATTTAAAGCATATTCTTCTTGCTAGTTTAAAAAAGAACTTCATTTTACCCGTAATAATCATCAATTAGTGTGCTCTATGTCGTTCATTTAAGCATTTTCTGACTTCACTATTAAATCAATAATATAGCTATGACCGACATTTGAAGAGTATTATTAGAAGTCAGGGTTTATAGAACAAGGTATCCTGTGAGCTACATTTATCTGTACAACATCGAATAAGGTGGTCGGTGACTTACTGGTTAAAGCAATTGATTTTCCACCTCAATATGAGTAGTATCACTAAGCCTTTCATAAGAAATAGGATTCCCATTGGGGACATGATATTGTAGTTGGTTATTGGTCGAATCCCAATGAAAACTTGATGAAGTCTGACTAGTATCTCGATATTAGTTTAACTTAATTTCCTGTTAAACAAATCTAAAACATTCAACTTTGGAATTTCCATAAATGATCCTTGGGGCGCTATTATTCACAACTAACGGATCTTATTGTTTCACCTATTCAAACCTCATAAACTTTCTGAGTTTCTCTTTACGGTAACAATATATTGAAAAACCTGTTCAAATTTCATATTTTTTGATAGACAACGAAAGTAAAGACAAAGTGAGCACTGTAAAAAAGCGAAAAAGATAGGAAAAATGAACATTAAGTCTAGCATCGTGATACTGATTTATGCATTAACTGATTCCATAGCTCAACCATCAACATCTCTAGCCTTTATGTGTAATCTAGAATTTATATTACGGATGTGTATTTAATTACTGATTTACATTTTTATGTATGGTTATCGACTGCATTGCTTATCAATGATGACAGATACATAAATAGAATTATATTCTAATAATCTGTTTCCATAGTTTTATGCTCAATAATTTACTTATGCATTCTATATTTCATTCACATTTAAGAATAGTGTCTATATACAGTTCTATTATTTCGTTATTGCTTTATCAGAGTTGATTTTACGAAAAAATTCTAATCTTATCATGTTACGTTTTGTATATTCTATCCTTAAACAAATCAATCTTAAATAAGGACTGTAGATATGTTGAAGTTGGAATGAATTATATTTAGTTAATAATATTTAACGATTGTTATACTGAAAAACTTTCATAAAGGGAATTTATAGATAACTAAATGGGTTGAAGAAGTGAATAAATGTTCTTTAAACATAAAATATTCTCAGAAGGCGTTTTGTGGAGATTTAGTATTTTCATAGTTGAAAGCGTGAGTCAATTGAAGCTAGATCACAAAGGAAAACCTGGAAGCACTGGACGGCCGTTTTGTCCTATTGTGGGACTGAATTCGAGAGGTAAATCTTGGAGTTTTAGTGAGAAGCAGTAACCAGTGGAGTTCAAATCACGTCTGTTGTGAGATGGAAACTCACTAAAGACAATTGGTGAACGGTTGCTCAAACTTCGTGGATTGGTTGAAGTTAGACATACACACCATCCATCGGATGCCGGTCGGCTCATTGGTCTATCGGTTAAGTGCTCTGGCGCGAGACTGGTAGGTCCTGGTTTGGAATCTCGCGAGTTGGGATCGTGGATGCGCACTACTGAGGAGTCCCACAATAGGACGAAACGGCCGTCTAGTGCTACCAGGTTTTCCTTGGTGGTCTAGCTTCAATTAACTCACGCTTTCAAATATAAAATATTCTAATAATTCCAGTTAGCACCTAGGAAATCAGAAATATATTCATGGAAATCAGTATTTTCACTAGTTTCTATTATCTACTAAACCTATTCGTCTATTTCTTAAGTTTATCTGAAATTGCATTATGTAACAAGCAATTTGTATTTAGTAATGAGGTGATACAATTTTTCCCATAAGTTAGTAATTCACAACTCCATATTCAGTAGATGATAAATTAAACTTCTTTTTCCCTGTCTACTAACTGAAGAGAGAGAAAAGTTTAAACTTGTCAAAAAGATATATGATTAAGACATAATTCACATTTGAGTGCATTTAATTATATCACTATTAATTTCAGTAAAACAAAATCATTGAATTTACTAATACAATGAAAGTGCACTGACAATTTAAATAAACAGTAAACACACTGAATTAATTAATATAATAGAATTGCATTAAAAGTTGTTTTAACAAACATCGGTATATTAATTTGGAAATACAATTCTTTCTTATACTCAAAAATGAACAGTATTTGAGCGAAAAATTGTTTTCAATAACTTCATCATCAGGCTCTACAGTTATAAATCCATAATTATGATATTTTATAGAGTCCAAAATGAGGCATGTATTAATTAATTACACAACTAATCAAAGATAACAGATGGATAGTAGCTAGCAGTGGAATGCAGGACGCGCGTTTCGTCCTGTTTGGGACTCGTCAGCTGGATGTACCTGCATCTCAGAGTTGATGTTCATTCGAACTCAGTATGCACATATGCCAATTAGACACTGACCAGTTGCAGTCCTAACACGTCGATGGGAAGATTCAAACAAACAATACAAAGTGAATTTAAACTTCACCCCATCGCACAAGCAAGTGGCTATCAGGACTCAGTGGCCGAGTGGATAACGCGATGGCGTTTGAAGCGAGGGTACTGGGTTCGAGTCCCATAGTGAACATCAACTCTGAGATGCAGGTACATGCAGCTGACGAGTCCCAAATAGGACGAAACGCGCATCAAACTGGATTTCACTGCTAGCCACTATCCATCTCTGCTAACCATGCTTGTGAATTAAGGTATATCGAGGCAATACGCACAGTATGCACATATGCCAATTAGAGACTGACCAGTTGCAGTCCTAACAAATCGATGGGAAGATTCAAACAAACAATACCAAGTGAATTTAATCAAGGATAAGTTACCGAAGATGGGCTTTTTCATTTGTGTATGCCAATTCAACTGTTCCTGTGGAGCTAGTTACATAGGCCGTATTCAGAGGGTTTTATCCTTGCGTATTCGTGAACATGTACCAGCATAGTTGGGAAAAGGAGTCACCAAATCCATTTAACAGCAGCATCCTTTCTCACTTTGTAGATAGTGAACATCATACCAAAATAGAGGAGGCTTTCTCTGTTTTATATCAAGTTCCGAAAATCTACTCTAAAGAGCTAGATTACGGTTACTTTACATAGCCGACATTACTTTAGCTAATAGATAGTAAAAACAAAGCTATATTACAGACATGTACGAATGTATACAGCATTTCAATAATAAAGAAATTTAAACTTCAAATTAAAATATTACCTAAAATCATTTTAAAATATTAGACGAATCTCTACGAAGTACAACTCAATAATAATTTTATGCAGCTAGTGACTAGCTTCAAGATTGACTTTCGAAGTTATAATAAAAAACCATCACCAGTCGAATCACTAGTGAAGTAACTACTCACCATTGAAATATATTGTTAATTATAATTTGCTTCAGCAATTTGACAAAAGTCTAATACTTCGACTATTTAATTTATATGGGAAATAGGGACAGTAGGTTATTTGATATGTATCATCTATTGGTCTTCTTAGGATACCCGCTTTCATAAAGGTGTTCACTGATTCACCTAATACTGTTTTTTTGGTTGGGAGATCTAGTGGTTGATGAATTAATTTGGAATATGAAGTTTAGGGTTTACATCATAGAGTAACTTTTAATAGAGAACCAGACATCACTGGCTGGGACTCCTCAGAAGTATGCACTCACAAACCTTAAACTATCTCCACTCACATCATTTGTTAACTAAATGAATTTCATTCGATCGTGGTTTTTTTAAACATTTAGAAATAGCTTTGGAGGACTGTCCTGAAAAAGAAACCAATAGGCAAGTCATTTTAGCATCCAATTCATTACTTAAGATACGGAATGCTGAAATATGATCACCTCTAGGCACGTGAAAATGTAAAGGAGTGAAATCTGAATTGCTCAGTCGCCTTTCATCTGGGAAGTTCGGTTTCTGTCGTTTTGAAATTTTAATGAAGAATGAACATTCTGGTTAACAGTAATACTGCAGATGGAGTTTTACCCCAATGAGGAGTAAAATCTTCAACATAAACTGATCAAACCATTAAATAGTTCTTTAATGCGACCGCAATATCTGAAAATATTTTACGTCAGCTATATTATGGTATATTGTCAGATATTTTAATCAATAGCAGCGAATAAAAAGTTATCATACCACTTGACAGATAAGATGAAAATAAAAAAAATCTGAATAATATAAAGAATAAGCTTTCACCAAATATGTGATACTTGCTTTAAGTACACGTAGTAGTGAATTCAGTGTAGCTGGTAGTGCTTTTATGTATTTGAAATGTTTACACACAAGTTACTAATCCATTTTAGATTATGGTCATTAGTATCAGATAACATTTTTAAGGTTTTCCTTCAATGGTTGTGTAATTTTCATAGTTGAAAGCGTGAGTCAATTGAAGCTAGACCACCAAGGAAAACCTGGAAGAACTGGATGGCCGTTTCGTCCTATTGTGGGACTCCTCAGTAGTGCGCATCCACGATCCCAACTCGCGAGATTCGAACCCAGGCCCTCCAGTCAAGCGCCAGAGTACTTAACCGATAGACCAATGAGCCGACCGGCATCCGATGGATGGTGTGTATGTCTAACTTCAACCAATCCACGAAGTTTGAGCAACCGTTCACCAATTGTCTTTAGTGAGTTTCCATCTCACAACAGACGTGATTTGAACTCCACTGGTTACTGCTTCTCACTAAAACTCCAAGATTTACCTCTCGAAGTCAGTCACTAGTGTGCATATGATTATAATCAGAAAGGGTTTTGTGGGTATTTCGGTATTTTCATAGTTGAAATCATCAGTCGTGTGTGAGTTGTGTAATTTTAAACAGTATAAACATGCGATGTTTGTATGAATTACCGATTCCTTTGTACTTGATAACTACCTGATTTCGAATTCGAATACAATAAATTCGTTCTTGCTCATCTAGTTCTTCTTGGTTAAATTGAGTTATTTCTGGGATTCCTCGTTTGTATAATTATTCAAATACTCCTAATTATCACAAAACACTACCTTTCATATTACTGGCACTCAGTATTGTGATTCACTTATCGATGTATTTATCAGCTAATAATAAGTCAATTGCTTTTCTTTCCAATACAAATAGAACTCAATGTATAATATGTAGGTATCATTACCAAGTTTTGATTTGATAATTTTGAATAAATTGAGCATTGGGTAGATTGTTATAAATAAATTAATATATTTGTAATATCCCAATGATCAGAGATGGGGGGTTAGTGGAGAATTTAGTATTTTCACAGTTGAAATCATGAGTCAATTAAAGCTAGACCACCATCGAAAACCTGGAAGTACTGGACGGCCGTTTCGTCCTGTGTGGGACTCCTCAGCAGTGCGCATCCACGAATAATAGGACGAAACGGCCGTCCAGTGTTTCCAGGTTTTCCATGGTGGTCTAGCTTCAATTGACTCATGCTTTCTACTATGAAAAATACTAAATCTCCACAAAACCCCTTCTGATAATTAATATTAAATATGTAATTTCCTTCCCTCTCATTGATTTTTACTCCGGACTCATTGAGAGCGATAGCTTGTAATTGGCTGAATTATGTATGTCGATAGTGTAATAAGAAGACGAAGGTTATCAGATTATCGTCTTCTTATTACTCTATCGAAATTTACGAAAGGGACTAATTGCTTCGAATTAAGTATGATCTAGTTTGTTCTCCGATTCTCTATTTTGAATCTTGAGTCCAGGATCTGATATAACGTGTCTAGTCTTATTATCTTATTAACCTATTATCATAGCATGCCAACAAGTCAGGAAAATATTTCAAATCATCCGTTTTATCACCAACTTTGATGTTTAGGTTGTTTAGATCATTAACTAAGTATTTCTTTAAGATCAACTTCAACTTCTCACATAACTGATCTTTATCACCTCCATTCCTATGATTGGTGAATGCATTGAACTGGATAACATTTATTGTAATGCTTTATAGATCCTGGATCCATGGAATTCCCATACTCTAAGTGGTTTTCGTGCTTCTTTGGATAGTACCGATGCAACTATTTGTGTATGTGCAAAATTTTCTTCTTCATGACCAGAGTACATTAACACCTCTCGCGAAGCTATTCTTTTCTGTCCTGCTTGCGTACAATGTATTTCACTTTTACAGAGCACTGCCAGGTTGTATCTTTTCATCTCCGCAGCTATTTGATCAGTCCTTTAGGTCTCCCACATTATCCGAACATTCCATTTACCTATGCTAATTGTTGCTCAGGTCGTTAGAAGGCTAAGTGGCTTTGTGACTTCCGAAAATTCCCAGCCTTCACAATGAGGTGTCATAACTCTTATGAATGAAAATGTTTTAACTCTCAAAGGATGTTTCAAGTGGTTTTAATGATTTTTCTTGGTTAGCGTTTTTTAGAATAGCTGTTTTCCGCTGGGTTGCTAACGACTTACCTAACCCTCCTCCTTTACCCGGTCTCGGGAACCTCAGTAACCCAAGAGAGCCCCCTCTGGTGGGGTTATTTTGGACTAAGTTGATATTAAAAATATGTGATAAATGCTTTATGAAGTAGGAGAACTGAATAACTAATAAACTAAATTCTCAGAATTGACAATAATCTTTGCTTGGGTTTTATACGATCATATATATATAATTACGGATCAGTTATATCTCTTGTTTATCGTACATTTTGAGTCATCATTGGATTCCAAGGAGTTAGATGTACAAGTTTACATTAGAACGTTTATGATTCATAAACAGATTACCAGTGACTTATTACTATGGGTCGATTCATAGAGACTACACTACTACACTGCTCACTTCTATGTTTCAGTGAAATAACCTTTTTAGTCGTTCAGATTCGACAGATAATTAAATAATCCTATCAGTGAATCATTTTATATCACTCAATAAAACAAGTGAACTACAGTTATGAATATAATCAATTCAATTCATTTCATACGATTGTGTATTTGTAGAGTATAATTGGAAAATTGTAAAATGAAGTATTACTGTCTCTCAATGATTTTTTTTACATCTTTGTTGACAAAATCAGAATAAATAAATAGAATATAAGAAAAAATGAATATTAAATACTACATTTGTATTATTTGTAATAGAAGGAAATATCTGCTAGTATATTATTAATCAGTATACTCCTTATCTAGAAAGAAAATTCTAAGTCATTTAAAGAACTCCAACGGATTCATGTTGTTTCCAATTTTGTTTCAATGGTGTTTGACATAGACTAGAGCATTCATCTCTATTGGTTGTTTTATTCACTTCTATATTGTTAGATTTTAATGTATCCTCAGATGTAGCACATGAAAGAATAGCTTGTACACCTGATATATTTAAAAAATAAATAAAAGTATTTTAAAAAGTTTAACCAAGTTTCAAAGATAAAGTAACCGGTAATATCATTACTTATTAGTTGTTCATACTTATCTACAGTGAATTCAGTAGGAATAAAATTAATATAAACTTATTATCTTTGAACTTATTAGCTGACAATTATGGAAATACTAAATCCCCACAAAACCCCCTTCTGATAATAATAATCATATGCTCACCAGTGACTGACTTCAAGATACTTGTCCTTGAGTTCTAGTGAGAAGCAGTGACCAGTGGAGTTGAAAGCACGTCTGTTGTGAGATATGAACTGACTGAAGACAATTGGTGAACGGTTGGTGAACTTGGTGGATTGGTTGGAGTTACACATAAACACCATGGGATGCCGGCTCAGTGGTGTATTGGTTAAGTGTTCTGGCGCGAGACTGATAGGTCCTGGGTCGGAATCTCGCGACGTGAGGTCGTGGATGTGCAGTGCTGAGGAGTCCCACAATAGGACGTAACGGCCATCCAGTGCTTCCAGGTTTTCCGTGGTGGTCTAGCTTCAATTAGCTCACGCCTTCAACTATGAAAATACTGAATCTCCACAAAAGCCCCTTCTGATGATAATAAACTTATTATTTGATATTAGTACTTGAATATTTCTCCTTAAAGCATTAGTTTAAATGTTTTAGTAAAGCTGCTTACTTAGGTTTTATTTAGAAGATTTTATACTTGTATGAAAAAGTTTTAAGTCTATGACTAAGACTATCTTTTAATACTCTGTCAAGATAATACATGTCATCTACAGAAACCAAACACGTTTTATCATGTCATGTATTCTAATTATAGTTTGAATGAAGTATAAACTTCCATCTTTTACCCATGATAAAAATAATGAGAATGAACAAACTGTGAGGTTTTTTTTAATGTCTGAAAGAAAAGTGCCTTAGTGATTTATGAATCATTTTGTATCATAGAAATCAACCAGTTTGCAGTTAACATAATGATTAGAAGTCTGTATTAAGTCCCTTAAACCCCTTTCAAATTTTTATAAATTAGTCATCATCAAACTGTTTCATTAAAGACTATATTTTATTAAGTGTTTTAGGGTTAGCGTTTCATGCTCTATCACTTTACATTTCTGCATAGAATTGAGTGGAGTTCACGTAACTTTTCGAAACCATTTATAACTAGCAAATAACATCTTAATTATTTGTACAACAATTCCACTTAATATCCACAAAAACCCCTTCTGATAATGATAAAAATATTATGGTTAAAGCATTTGTTTTGATATTATTTACAAGTTGGACATGTAGACCACTGGATGTCGACTAAGTGACTTAAAGTTTAAACATTTCTCTTAACACCTGAAGGTTTTTGGGTACGATCTTCGGTGGGGTCATAAAAGAATACGATTTTGTATTGAACCTGGGAAATTAAATCATTTTTCGAATCTTAATAAAAAATGTGTCGAATTCATTCTTTTTAAAAAGGTGATGGTTTGTTGACAATAGATATTTATCAGAACTGTACCTCGCCGATTATTTTCTAATTATCAGAAGGGTTTTCTTGGCGATTTTGGTAATTTAATGGTTCAAATCATGAGTCAATTGAAGCTAGACCATCATGGAAAACCTGAAAGCACTGGAAGGCCGTTTCTTTTTATCGTGGGACTCCTCAGTAGTGCTCATCCACGATCCCACTTCGCGAAATTCGAATCCAGGACCTATCGGTCTCTCGCTCGTACGCTTAACCTCTAGACCACTGAGCCGGTATCCAGCTGCGTTAATGCCGGCACAGTGGTCTAGAGGTTAAGCGTACGCGCGCGATATCTATAGGTCCTGGGTTCGTATTTTCTAATCACATCGAACACAGACTGTCAAAATACTTTCATGGGGTATTGAGACAACAAAGAATGAAATGCCAAAAATGCATGTATTCTATTTGTTGAAATATTTCAGTTAAGATACTGATTTATTGAAATAAATTAATTTTTACTATTGTTATTAAACCAAATGAGGTTTATATGAAGTTGTCATTATATTCAAGTCAATCATGTCACTCGAATATTAAATATATTTAGTATCAATTGATTAAATGTTCAGATTATTCCACACTAGACAGACCGACAATACACAGTTCACAATACTATTTTTAATAACGTATTTAACAATAAGTGTTTATTTATTTGCTTACCTCTACTGTGTGTTTCGCTGATATTATCCATTTCACCAATTACTAAACGATCTGTTACGGTACAGCAGTTTTGTATGTCCTCGTCTTCCACTGTTTCATTGAGACTCTAAGAGAAGGAAATTTGTGTCCGAATGATTATACACATCGTTATGATTATAATTTTGACAAGTTTGTAGAAAATTATTTTCAAATGATTAGTTATTCACTCTAGTTCAAAAAATTCAAAATTGATGTGACTGGTCAATGAACGTCCCCTCATTATTGATACGAATAAACAAGATCTTAATCCTGTCAAAGTGTTAAGCTATTCGGTGGATTTACATGTAAAATTCAAGTTTAAAACAAAGATTCACCTAGAGTATAGTTTTATTATTATTATCAAAAAGGATATGTATATATGTCTAGATATGTAGATTGGTTACAATTCTCAACTCACGAGATAATTGTGGTAGTTAAAAGTTCCTCATTGTGTGAAGGAAAACCCCTCCTGAAATAATTACATATTAGTTAATCGCAACACTTTATAGTTTAAGTGACCTCCGGTAGTTGTGTCTAAGGTCAATACTGAGAATGAACAGTTTAACTGAGACTAACTGAAAAAAAATTATTGAAGTTGTTGCACTCAAACATAAATTCAAAGTATGCACAATGACTGAATGTAATTGTTAAAAGTATCGAGAGTATACAAATACAATAGTAAATGAAATGTTAATACTGCGACAAGAAATAAACATTACATTGTGTTCTCAAAGTTTATTGAAGATAAACTGGTTACTGTACATAATTAAGTAGTATACAGCGATAAATAAATAACGTTGACTACTAAGAAACTTAAGACATAGAATGTAAACGAAATTAACTAGTGTAGTGGTTGCTTCATAGTGACCAATATTAAAGTGTATCTCTAACGTGTCGGCATAAAATTAAAATATCTTAGTTCCTAATCAGTGATTTACAAACTATACTCCAAATTCGTTATATATTTAGGAATGAACAATGTTAAAAGTAATTGAAATCATTGGACTAATTTAAAGTAGTGACCGCTTACCAACAGCTATTTTCTAAATATTCTACCGCATTAAATAAACGGATTTAATAAGTAACTTTTATTTTACCCTAAATTCATGAATAAAATATGAACCATTGTGAAATCTTATTACCTAAATGTAAATGTACTTTTTTTTTCATAAATAAATAATAGAGAAAAAGATTTGTTTCTTAAAGTGTAATAGAAAAGTGACACATTAAATAGGAAGAATATATTTGTAATATCTCAGTGAATGAATTTGAAGTAAATTCAAAGTTTCTTCTGGCAATCTGGTTCAAGCTTTTTCAAGGAAATATAATCAAACATCAAAATTATCGAATATAAATAGGTACATAGTTCTTTGGTTGATTGTACACTGGATAGATAATCTAATCAGCGTTAAAAATGTCTAAACTAGGTATATGTATTAGTGTGTAAGAAACTTGTAATGTGAAATGATATGTGTACAATCAACCAAAGAACTATGTACCTATTTATATTCGATAATTTTGATGTTTGATTATATTTCCTTGAAAAAACTTGAACCAGATTGCCAGAAGAAACTTTGAATTTATTTCAAATTCATTCACTGAGACTTTACAAATATATTCTTCTTCCTATTTAATGTCTTACATCAACTCGGCGCCCAAACGTTGTGAAACTATTCTCTCTAATTTAGACGAAAGTTCTTATATAGAAAAGTTAGTTAACTGTTATATCCCCTGGTGAATTATGAATGGTAAATCTGAGGTCTATTATCGACCAATGTATTATGCCTATTTCTTATTGTACAATTGTTAAATAACTAAATTATTCATATTCGTTTTCTCTTATCATGAGCTTTATTTTGATCTTTGATTCATCATCATACGATTCTTGAGTTATAATCAGTTTATTGATTACTTTGGTTTGTATAAAAACCCAGTGTGTTTGTAAATAATGATTTATATTGCCGAGGCTGTTATTTGTGTTCTGCACTCAACTGGCTGGGCTAGGCAGTAGCAGGGCCGATAGGCAATCAAGACTGCTCGTACAATTTCAATCATCATTTGCGGCCGATCAATAAATCCACTACCTTCTCTAATTACACGTCCATATATATTAAAAGTCCTATACGTTATAACATTAACCAACTACATCATAATAATAAACTTTATATTTTTAAAATTAAAACTTACTGGATCATTATTTGACATTTTTTCTCTTCTAGACCAATTTGTATCTGTATTAGTTTTATAATAATTACCTCCAGTTTGTTTAGTATCAAAATACATATTTTGATGTGATAATGCAGTAGATACTAGACTTATAATCAAATTTTTCTCTCTACAAGAAAGAGGAAAATGCCTAAAGGCATAGTTTTCTATTCTATCTTATTACAATAAATATAATCAAATGTTTACAATAGATAGATCATCGTTTGTTTAACCTTATTATGGGCTTATTTGTACTTTTCTATTATGTCTAGAGCATTCAATCGATTAAAATAAATGATTCAACTGGTGATGTGTACTAATAATCATATATCTTTCAGTGACTCTCAGTACAATCATATTCGATACTTGCAATAATAAAAACGTAAGAATTCTATGATTCAATGGATTTTATCGACTAGTTCCTGAAGCTTCCATTCAGGAAACTTGAGGTTGCTGGTTATTCAAGCTCTACTACTACTTCTGCTACTGTAAATCAATTGAAAGACATGAACAGTTTATTAAAAATTGCGTAGCCTGATATATATTTATGCAATACATGGAAAGAACCATAATGACTTAGTGCAATCCCACTTATTATCTACTGATTATACTTTTGTAGACTGTAATAGTTCGAACTGAGTGACCACTCGTCTACTCTTATTATTGACCACTAAAACACCAATTTTATGATGTGGTATAAGAACTAGTATTGATACACCCTGCTTATCTAAAAACAAATTGCGAAACGACAATGCATTTGGAAGAATCATCCATTAGGAAACCTTTTGTGAGTGAGTGGTAATGAGAAATTTCTGCCTAATCAATAAGAAAAAGAATATTGATAAAATGACTGTTTCAAAATGTGAAGGAAAATGGTTTTGTATAAACGTTTAATGATGAATTTAAGTTCAATGAATAATATATCTTTAACGAATATGAAAGAATACGATAACAGAATATTGTGATCCATATGAAACTTTTCTTAAATAAGGCTAATTTTAAATCAATTAACTTTATTGAAATATTATTCTGGTAATCAGAAATACGACATTTGTAGCCTAAAAGACTCTCACTTTGACTTCATTACACTATATATGTACAAGCATACATTGACATATTTTTACTTATTAACCACTTTCACACAAATAAATTAAATTTACAAGTAGGATAGTTGAAGTAAAAATATTCTTTGAGTTTGGAGTTCTACTTCGACCTTTTCTGTCATATTCCCATTACTTACCTATCTGTTGCATTTTCTAACCAATGTTGTACTGCATTCATATCGTTTGTTTGAAGAATACTGCATATCATAGCAAATATTTGCATTTCATAATTACGAAATATTTCACTAACTGAAGTTGCATTTCTTAGAGATTGACGTCGTTCGCAACTCTATGGATTCATTTTGCAAGAAGTACATACATATTATTAAAAATAGATAATAATAATAAACATTACTTCATTCATTTAGTAAAATAAAAAGGTCAAAATAAATTTGGCATATCGTCTTTAAAGTAAATCTCAGTTGTTGTAGAAGTATCCTTGCATTTACTAGTTCATTCTTCTAAAGGGACTTCATTATTCTTTTATATTTAAGGTGTTCGTCAGTTGACTGGTTTACGTGTGGGTTAGAAAAAAAATGTACATTATATTTCTGCAAAGAGATCGACTTTAAGACTTGAGAATAAAGCTAGAAACTTAGTAGTCATAGTTCCAAGACAGCTATATCAACACTCATTGAGCATTTCTTAAAGCACTTATCCCTTAGAGATCATGTGGATCCAGTAGGAAAGAAAATCAACATAATTTAGAAGTATGGAATTTTAAATATATAAGAACTCTCGTCTAAATTAGAACGAATAGTTTCACAGTATTTGAGCGCCGAGTTGAAGTAAGACATTAAATAGGAATAATATATTTGTAAAATCTCAGCGAATGAATTTTTTAATGAATTTTAAGTCATTAAAAAATTCAGGCGAAGTTGAAAAGTCAACTTTTAGATAAATTATTCTATTTTTAAAGTTCATTACAAATCAGACAGCACTAGGGAGTAAATATAAGCTAAAAGAAACATTACCATATCAAAGTAATATAGATCTAGATTTTGTTAGTGAATGAATAACATTTGTAGGATCTGAAACATTTTTGACAAGTAAATTTAAGGCCAAAATGTAAACATTGACGGGTTTAATTAAATTCAGAGGAGAAAACGAACTACTCTGGGTGTAATCCCTGTTTTCAGTTTCCAGACAGCAAAATCCGACCTAAGGCCTCCTTGCGGTGCAGCTGGATAGTAGGGACACCTTTTCTAGCTAACGTGGGTGGTCGGTGAAGATCGGACTAAACCACAACTCCCATACTGATATTGGATTACTCGGAGGTCATTCTTCGTGACGGCCTGCCCAACGTGCATAATCGTGTATGTATATATATGTAAATGGTACGTGCCGAGGCCGTAGAGTGAGCGTGAACTGATTTGTATGCCATCTGTCTGGCATAAAGCCAGGAGCCTAAGTCGTTAGATCGAAGATATAATGAAAAGATATGGTAAGAAATACTATGAGATATTGTTTATGGTTATCCGCACGTCATAAAGTGGAAAGTCTTTATTACCAGTGATATGCATGTAATGAGTAAATGTCAGTCAGCTTTAGCAAATAACTAGTTGTAATTGAAAACATTTTAGTCAAGTTAAAAAATATTTTTGCTGTAGCTACTTCACTTGAAAAGTGTGATCTGAAGTAACTCCAAATATAGGAGATGATGTGAGTAATGCAGTAAAAACGAAGTTGTAGACCAATACTGAATAGTATCAATCTCACCAAAAGTGAAGGACGATTAAAATGTTTGGAAAAGTCAAGTACAACCAGTTGCTTGTTTAGAAATCATTTAAGAAGTCAGTTATGATATTAAGATATAATAAGTGCATGATGCACAAGTAATAATTCCCTCAACTGAATCGGGAATACGTGGTGTGACAGACAAGATTTATAAAAATCCAGTTTCACTCGTTTCGATATAATTTTGCACTTGAGCTTAACAAGTTTATTTAACCTTTTAATAACTTGACAAGACAAGGTTTATTTTTAACCAAAACCCAAACACCACGTAGGCGATTATTTTTATTAATTTACATGTATGTGCGGAAACGTATATAGGGAGGAGCAATCGTGATCTGTAATTGAGGGTGGCGGAACAAATACCCAAATGGTTGTAGAAACAAATGAATTCCAATAATGAAATAAGATCACAGGATAGACGGACATCTTCCTTCATTGTGAAAGGTTAATATGAAGTCAGAATTTGTAGTGTTGTACAAAAGCCTTCAAGGATGTATACTGGGGTTTCTGGAAGCCTTGGTTAGACGGAATCTGAAACCCTTTTTATGTATTCAAAAACAATTTGTTCTTACCCTTAACCTACCCTGGCAATACTGGTTTATTATCCAAAGCGCCTATCATGGCTCAGTAGCTAATGGATAACGCGATGGAGTTTGAAGCGAATGGTATGGGATTCGAGTCACAGATTGAACATCAACTCTGAGATGCAGGTAAGTCCAGATGACTAGTCCCAAATAAGACGAAACGTGCGTCCTGGATTCCGCAGCTAACCACTATACATCTCTGCTTGCAGTGCTTGTGAATTCAAGTAATACCGAGGCAATACTTATAGTATGTACATATTCCAATAAAAGACCGATCAACTCCAGTCTTAAACATCAATGAGAAGATTCAAACAAACAATACCAGGTGGTTATCACATTGTTTTTGTGTACTTTATTTATTTTTTGCTAAGGTTTATCTTTAATCTGTTTAGTTGACCTTTTAGTTTTTCATATAAAAATGTCTTAACAAGTATACGTGCGATCAGATTGTTCAAAGTCTATTGCGCAAATATATTACATAATTTTGATAACCTTCGTCTTCTTATTACATTACTGAAATTCCCACAACACTTATTTGTTTTACCTATTATCAAGTCAATAAATAAAAGGTGAAAATTTTCGTATACTAACAGTTTAGCAGACTTTTGTCAACTTAATTTTAGATCAATTAATTAGTAATACAAATAATCTTTTCAAGGATGTCACAGTTACTATGATCATGTGTCAAATCAAAAACCCTAATAACAACACAACAATAAATTCAACTTAGTATTGTTTGTTTAAATCTTCCCATCGATTTGTTAGGACTGCAACTGGTCAGTCTCTAATTGGCATATGTGCATACTGTGCGTATTGCCTCAATATAGTCTTAATTCACAAGCATGGTAAGCGGAGATGGATGGATAGTGGCTAGCAGTGGAATCCAGGACGCGCGTTTCGTCTTATTTGGGACTCGTCAGCTGGATGTACCTGCATCTCAGAGTTGATGTTCACTCTGGGACTCGAACCCAGTACCCTCGCTTCAAACGCCATCGAGTTATCCACTCGGGGTTCGAGTCCCAGAATGAACATCAACTGTGAGATGCAGGTACATCCAGCTGATGAGTCCCAAATAGGACGAAATGTGAGTCCTGGATTCCACTGCTAGCCACTATCCATCTCTGCTAACAACAATAAATGTTTGTAAGTGCAACATTGAACAGTTAGAATGAAAATTTCTTGAATGATTAATGAATATCTATCCTGTACCGACTTTTTGACATACACATGAAAAAAAGTTTTATACTGAAGTTTTTCTATTCTAACATCTTTTTTAGTTCTTTTTAAAATGTTTGGATTACTTAAAGAAAACATAGATTTTTAGGATAAGTGTTTATTTATGTATTTATTTATCAACTGAACTATGAAAAATAAAGTAAATTATTTGTATTTTTTGTGTTTATCAGTTCGACTGCTCCTGTTGATCAAGTTATATTGGTCGAAGTTCTAGGAATTTACATTTTCGTGCTCGTGAACACCTCTCAGCGTGGATAAGTAAAGGTTTGGCGAAGAAGGTAAACAGCTCGATTTTGACCCAAATTGGTCATAGTGTCAGTATAAACCAATCGTTTTCAATTATTTATAAGGTCAGTAATTTTTGCCAAAGATTGTCAGGCTTAAAGTCCTTCAAACGGCTGAAGTAGTAGCCATGAGGATGAAGAAACCGGAGCTATGAGTACAGAATAAATATCTCCAACCCTTTCTCCTCCCCTGGCCAACCACAAGGCCAATTAATCGATAATAATCTTAGCTATTGGATGACCTAATTTGACTATGTACTTACCACCTTTCGTAGTCAAATGTAATTGTCTCTCTTTGTATTATTATTATTATTATCGATTAAATATCATTATTAATCTCCCCTATATATGATTCATTCACTTCGCATTGATCCCTCCTTATTACATCTTACTAATTTTTCACACAGTTTAGTCTTCCACTTGATCGAATTGTGATTGCGCTATCATATCTCTCTCACCCTATCTGACCCACATTTATTCTGATCACAGATCTTAAATTTTCACTTTACATATTATACAGATTCAAGTTAACATTCTATATGAGTCAATATCAACATTAACAATTTTATTCTATTTGGTTTGACAGTCCTAAATTTACATGCATTAAACGATGTACTTTGCCTTTAACCAGGCCATTTTTTTCGGATTATTAATTTGGATATATGGATTATAGAACCTGAAGAGAGAATTCATCGAAAAGAATATTCTTCGTTCAAATATTAGTCTTTTAATTATCAGAAGGGGTTTTGTGGAGATTTAGTGGTGGTTTAGCTTCAATTGATTCACGCTTTCAACTATGAAAATATTAGTCTTTTAAATGATTTGTATAAACATGTCAAATTTTCAATAAAGATTACTTTGAATAATTCAACAAATTCTTTTCTTTATTAATTAATGTTGTTAACCTATTTAAAAAAAAACTATGATACAAGAAGATATGATTCCATGAACATGTATCATCTCCATTGGGATATTTTTTTAGCATTACTGTATGATTTTGTATACAGTATCAAATTATCGACAAAATAAAAATGTCCTTCAAGACTATCATCTTTGAGTTCCACTGCTTGCCTCATTATATGTATTTTGATGGAGTTTTGTTCTCTGAGCTGGATGGTTTGGTCGTGGAACTTTCATCGTCCTTCTGAACGACATCATCAGCACAAACTTCGGGTAGAAGTGAAGTGTTTGAACTTCTCCACATGTGATTCACAGCTTGTCCTGTGCACCAATCAACATCGAAGTGCACAGAACAAGCTGTGAATCACATGTGGAGAAGTTCAAACACTTCACTTCTACCCGAAATTTGTGCTGATGATGTCGTTCAGACGGACGATGAAAGTTCCACGACCAAACCATCCAGCTCAGAGAACAAAACTCCATCAAAATCACTCACCTGAGCTACAAATCTCCACCACATTATATGTATTCTATTTAATGACTATATTGGGACACTCCTCATATGATCCACATATACGACATAAGATTGATTAAAATTCAGTTGAAACATTAACAACTGGATAATCCAAATCATCACAAATTAAATACTAGCCTTCAGTCGTTATATATTATTTTTGGATATCAAATTTCATAGTTGAAACCAAAGTAATTTACTTCTTATTAAAAATATTTCCAGCTAACCAATCTAACCTCAAAATGAAATATTGGTCGATATATTTCAAAGGTATTTAAGCTGATCAGATTGCCGAATTGTTTTACAATCAATTCAAGATAATGACTTTAGAATTGAAACATTTGACGACATACAATTAGGGGTTTGAATTTTGTTAATGAATAGTGAGAGTTCGTCGACTGCTAAACAACACAGAACATAACACTTCCATAGTCGCGAAATTCTTATCAAATGTTCATTATTTGTACTGACATTCTAATACGTAGTTATAGACGATGGAATAATTAGACTTATTAGGTGTTTTACTTCATTTAGCGACTCACCAGAAACCTAAGGATACAAGACATCTATTTCTTTATAGTTTAATATCTCTCAATAATAATCATCCCAACCCCTGCAGGAATAGAATCTGTGAAGTTGGGAATAAAGACCAACTCAAAAGTCTAATGGTAGCAAACTAATCTCAAAAACCGATGGCGATTAGCCCGGTCACTGTGAGATCATGGCTGCTAATTTCTAAGGAGTCTCAAAGTTAAATAGATATTTTCCAAACCCGTATTGCATGTGAATAAGCCGAAGACGGAATTAAAGTGAATTTCGTGCAATAAGGAAATCGAGCCATGATTTACTGTGTGAGATAACAGCAAATACAAAGCACATAGTAAACATTAATTTAAATGGTAACCACCAATGTAACTAAAGTTTAGATTTAGATAACGTGATCGTTTCGAAAAAAAGTCATATTATCTAACGCTAAGTGACATCAAGTACGACGAAGTGTCTCATTAAGACATGGACTAAGATTGCTCGTGTACATGAAATATGTTTTTTCGGAGTATGTTGACTTACGAGTCATAAATGTACGTAGTTTCGACTAAAATTTGACGGCAGTGACGGAATGTATGACTACTCTAAGTGAAAGTAGCCGCGAAATGTTATTAGACATCATAAACATTATACGAAATTAACTAACTCAATTATGAAACTCGCCTGGGTTACTCTTGCTCCCAAGTAATTGAAATTTGCTGATGAAATTCGTAGATTAACGAAACATTGTAGACTGAAGCCCTCAAATGTCCTGGTACGGCCGAGAGTGGGGAGAGTCACCTCTCCCTCTCGAAATACTCTCATATGGCCAGCGAATATATAGCCTCTGTCAGGGAAGTCCTACTCACTGCCTTCTCGTGGCGGGGATGTTGTATCCGAAATTGAGAGGGCGAAAAGCGAATGTCCGGCGCTTTAACCGGGTTGGCGGACATGGAGGGTCCACCTAGGGGAGTTGGAAAACCCTGGTTCCAAACCAGTGGTGCACATGGGCTCCAGTATCTTGAAGGAACAAATGGCGTATGAATCAATCGTTGGTCACCGGCTACCATGGGACTGCATCTCCTTACGATACTCCATTGCCTTGTGGATCAGATCTTTAGGTCAAAGGCTCCGGGTGTGGGCCCCTAAGAAAACCACCTGCTTCAGTTTGGGCACCTGGGCAGTATCACAGCCCTCACACAAATCGAATGAGATTTGTGAGGCGCATATTTATCTGGTGCTTCCTTGTACCAATATTTATGTGTTTAAATAAATAAATAATAACAAAGTTAAATAAATCAGCTATCCAAAGCCTCGCATTTCTTCACTTGTTGACCACAGAAATGATAGCCTGATTAAATATTTGTTAAACTCATTTACTGAAGTAGAAATAGTATTACATGACTTAATAATGTCATTTGAGTATTTTTTTCAAATACATTTTTAGCTTGAAGGAAAATTATTGTAAGTTAATTTTGTGTTTTTCTGAGTGAAAACTAAACATTTCAGATCATTTTCCAAAGAAATCGAGAAAGTTATCAACTATTCATAGTCACCATAACACCAACAAGTGTCTTTATTATGAAGTTAATAGTTAACTAATAATTTATTCCTCATTAAACATTTTGCAAAAGAACTTACAGTTGACTGATGTCGTGTACGCGTGTATCTACTGTCGTTAGTTGGAGGCAATAAGCGACCTGTTTTACTTGAGTAAAGAAGTTCGGGTGGTGCGTTTTGATTTTTGTTCATCGTTTCTGAAATTTGATTGTTCATTTTAAACGGAATCTTTTCATCTAAGCTAGAAGGTAGATAATAAGAGCTATTTCTATTTGAGGAATTATTGAAGCGATCAAAATGTTGATCATAGTTGCTGTTATCTGCCTGTATTGGTATTTGTAATTGACCTAAAGTGGAAAATAAAAGAAATTTATGGGTAAATATATGGGAAATATGAAGAACGTGAAGTTAATTTCTTATCACCTAAAATGGTTTGAATAAAATGGACAGGTTGGATGCAACTATACGATTTGGAATTTGCAGATGACATGACCCTTCTATCCCATACACGCTAACAAATTCAGCTGAGGACAGCCAATATAGTAGCAGTCAATGCATCAGTAAGCCTCAATATACACAAGGGAACAAGCAATGTATATCCTCAAATACAACACGGAGAACAACCAAATCACACTTGATGAAGAGGCTCTGGGACTGGTGGAAGGTTTTACGTACCTACCTGAACAGCATCATCAATATATAAGCAGAATCAAATGCAGGTAAAATATCAAGGACTGGAAAAGCAAGGACACCATTCTTACAGTTGAAGAACGTATAGGACTCGAAACAGCCGTTGGTAAGCCAACATCAAAATCAGAATCTTCAATAAAAGCATCAACATAGTTCTACTGCATGGAGCTGAGACTTAGAGAACTACTACAACCATAATCAAAATGGTACAAGTACTCATAAACAATTGTCTACATGTCCGTTGGCCGGATACCATCAGCGACAGCCCACTTTGGGAGGGAGCAAATCAACTTCCATCTGAAGAGAAGATTAGGAAAAGACGTTGGAAGTGGATGGGACATACATTAAGGAAATCACCAAACGAGGCAAGCCCTAGATTGGAATCTTGAAGGGAAGCGGAAAAGAGGAGGGCCGAAGAACACATTACAACATCGGGAATAGGAGACAGATATCAAAATGGCGAATAGCAACTGTAAAGAACTGCAAAGGATTGTCTAGGATAGAGTTGGATGGAGAATGCTGGTGGGTGGCCTACGATCCTCCATGAAAGGCAACATGCGTAATCTAAAGTAATCTAAAATGGTTTAAGTAAAGTGGAACTCTATTTGTTAATAGTTTTCATTATCTTTAGACATTTAAGAACGGGCTCATGGTTCTTATTTAGTTTAGATTATCTAAACTGATAACTTTTAGGTTTCATTTTCACCATTTAAATTCCACTAGAGCTTTAGAGAGTTCTGATAAAGAATGAAACTCTAAAATAACCAAATTAAAAGAAGACATTATTATTTTGTAGAAGTCTGTATTTGTTTCGTAATAACTATATTGCTACAGTAAAAAACCGACTGAATTTAGACAACACGTAGACAATATCAGAATGAATTTATTAGTCGATTTGAGCTAAACTACTATTGAAAGCCTGGAAACACTGGACGGCCTTTTTTTCTTAGTATGGGACTCCTCAGCAGCTTACAGGTTAAGCGTTCTCGCACGAGACTGAAAGTCATGAGTTCGGGTTCCATGTAAGGGATCGTGGATGCGCACTGCTGAGTAGTCCCATACTAGGATAGTACGGTTGTCCAGTGCTTCCAGGTTTTCACTGGTGATCTATCCTAAATCAACTTATGAATTTAACCATTAAAATGTAAATAAAAATTATGCGGAAAATTAAAATGAGGATGAGTATTTAAAAAATAATTAATAACCTTATTCAAATATTTTTGCAGAACTCAGTGTTCATAGAAAAAGACAAATTCTTAGAAAAAATTCAAGTTAGTGTAAAGTGACTTTTAAGCGTATTTCAGTTTAAAGTGACCTTTAGTTGTCTAAATGTTGATCTAACCTAATCGAACTATTCAGAACAGTTCATTCAGTAGTTTAACAACCTATTTAAATAAAAGATTTAAAATCAAATGTCTTCCGCTATATTGTACTACTTTCTGCTACTAAGTAGTTGACGCTGATCCTGAAAATTTTCATGAGTTATGCATTAGAATTGATCTCATCTTTTATGTGCATTCATATGTGAAATTAAAATAAGCTTAAGCTCTATTTAAGATGCTAACATGGATGGTCAACAGTCTATAGTTTGCATGCAACTAAAGGGTCAAAATGAGTTTCCTAAACCTTCTTTTATGAAAAGTTCAAAAAATAAAACCTGATTGCATTAAGTATGATAAGTTGAACTGAAGATGATATTTTGAAAATTGAAAGTGAATCTTTCAAATCTTTATGTTGAAAATTTAACTTACTTGCTATAAAGATGGGAATAACAGTAGTCTGCTTCCAGCTGTATTTTATAATAAAGAGAAACCAGCAATTGGTTGAAGTCAAATGGAAATTCAGTACCTACGTTTTGTATGACGGAATTCCTTTAGCGCTCACACTGGAAACATAGTCAGTATAGACCAAACCGTAAAGCGAAAAGACTTTGGTGATTATACAGTGAACTATTAGTTTGACTATAAATGAATGGCTAAAAGTATTTTGTCTTTCTTAAATTCTAAAACCTCATTACAATGCATCTATAAACTATTGATATAGTTACTAAACTGTGTTTAACCATAATGAGCTAAAAATCACATTGAACTCATCAAATAAGAGTGATAAAGTTGTTGTTCATGATAAAGTTGTGTTCATGAACAATATGGAATGAACTCAATGTTAAAGTGCTAATTTTGCGCACGATATTGTAATGATCGTATTCGAGCTGCACAAAATACTAAAGTCTTTTCTTATTGAATGGATATATTTCATTTCACCAAAGAATGTTTATTAAGTTAAAATTATAAGTTTCCAAACGTTTCCTAATTGCATTGGATCATGAATTTTCCATTTGTCATACGTTAAATTTTCTGATAGATATTGTATTTATGATATTCATATTTGTTGACTATTTCCAAATAAACTGATGTCAAATAAAATTAAACTAGAACCAACACTTCAGCACCTTGGTCAATTCTATTCAGCTGTAATTTATAGCATTTAAATATAAGAGCATATCTTTTATACTACTTATTACTGAATACTCAAGCTTATTTAATTTTTCATCAAATTCCTGCTTGGTACGAAATTTAGAAGTCGAAAAATCAGATACCTATATGTATAAAAATATTCTTAGACGTAAAGAATATTCCACATGTGGAGAAATTCAAACACTTCACTTCTACCCAAAGTTTGTGCTGCTGATGATGTCGTTCAGAAGGACGATGAAAGCTCCACAATCAAACCATCCAGTTCAGAGAACAAAACTCTATTAAAAACTTCGAATAAAAATTGACATAAATGAATGCAAAAACTGAAAACAAAATCAAAGATGGATAGTGGCTAGCAGTGGAATCCAGTTTGATGCGCGTTTCGTCCTATTTGGGACTCGTCAGCTGCATGTACCTGCATCTCAGAGTTGATGTTCACTATGGGACTCGAACCAAGTACCCTCGCTTCTAACGACATCGCGTTGTCCACTCGGCCACTGAGTCCTGATAGCCACCTGCTTGTGCGATGGGGTGAAGTTTAAATTCACTTTGTATTGTTTGTTTGAATCTTCCCTGCTAGCCACTATCCATCTATGCTTATCATGCTTGTGAATCAAGGCTATATCGAGGCAATACGCACAGTATGCACATATGCCAATTAGAGACTGACCAGTTGCAGTCCTAACAAATCGATGGGAAGATTCAAACAAACAATACTAAGTGAATCAAAACAAAATCATTTATAAAAAAAACTTACTTAAAATACTTCCAGTAAGATAACCTAATTCACTTTGCCATTTCATTCGACGTTCTGATAATTCTTTATTTAACATATTCATTTGTTGTCTTTCATTTAAATATTCTTGTGATTGTTTTAATTCTTTTAAATAATTCATTTCAGATTCAATTAATGGACCAATAATTGGTGGACGTTCACGTACTGAATAATTTCTTAAACCTGTAAAATATTTCAATCCATTAATCGTATCTAATCGAGGAATTTTTCGACAAGTTAATGATAAAGGAAGAATCCCGACAGGAACATGATGTAAACAATAATTGGATTTCCATAATTTGTTTAATGTATCATTATTATTATTATTATTATTATTATTATTTAAATTCAACTTTAATGAATTATTTACTAAATAGTCTGTATAATAACTTGGTGATAATCCAACGGGAAAGTTAGTGCGTTTACTCAAATCCAAAGAAGAATTATGATTTTGTTGAGTTGATGGAATATTATCATCTGTTAAGATTGGATCATGTACTACACGTACAGGTAAACCAAGAAAACCATTAAAATATGTTACTCTTTGAGGATGTGGATTATGTCGTCCAGAATAATTATGAAGATTTATTTCCTCATTAATATAGTTAGACATTTGGCTTGTTCCAATTCTAAGTGAATTCGATTCGTTTCACCTGATGAATACTATAAAAAAATAAATTTTGTCGAAAAAAAATAGATCAAAAAATCAATATTTTCTAACTAATGGATCACGTTACTTTCAAATTAAGATATATTTTAAGATTAAAACAAGTTATATCGAACAGTCATTGGAAGAGGCAAATAACTCAAATAAATGTGACCTTAGATTCAGTTTGTAAAAAAAGTGTAAACTTGAATAAATATATAAATAAACAGAAAGATAATAAACTATTGATTGGTATTCTCTCATTATCAATCAACGGTATTCGCCAGCCTTTATTGACACTTTACAACAAACTGATTTTGAGTAGAAAGTGAAATAATAGAATATTCTATCACATTGTTCTATATACATATGTTACATAGAGCCAACTACTGACTAATTTTGATGATTAACTTCCTGAGTTCTAGAAAAAAGCTGTGGACCGAGGAATTCAACCTTGTAGAATGGGAGGCAGTTGATCACCAGTGATACTGGGCGATAGTTAACCAATGTTATAAATTGATTTGAGTTAGACTTATACACAGTTGGGTTTCAGCTCAGTGGTTTAAAGGTTAGACGTTGCCTTTAGACCTGAAGGTCATGAGTTCTATCTATAGTGAGATTGTGGATGAAAATTGTTGAGGAATCTCATACTAAAACACAATAACTGTCCAATACATCTTGGTTTTCACTGATTATTTAACTAAGACTGTCTGTTATGCTCACTACAGAAGACTAACTGTTAAATGATGTTGTTTATGGAAGAAATCATTTAAATACAAATTCACCGAGATATTACATTACAATTTTTGCTATCGATTATGATAAGGAACTTAAGAATAGTTTATCGAGTTATATAACTTCGTGACTAAGCTAACAATGCTTAGGCAGACAAATTTCATACAACTTAAAAGATTATGTTAAGTTAAACCAGATATTATCAACTTATTTAACTAATTTTGAATAGGTCTGGATTATTGATACAGCGAAGTTTCATTGTGTTTTAATAATTTGGTTATATATGGGATAACTAAAGCCGACTTGACATTGCTTTCAAAATCAGTGTCTACTGAATATGCAATTATAAACTTTGCATGATAATTTTCAATATTAATGTTTGTGAGACAAGATACATTTAATTTTATTATAGGGGTTTGTAGAGTTTGCTGAAATTTCATAGTCTGCATCACAGATTGACTTTACTTTTGGACCATTAGTAAAAATAATTTGGCTGGTTAGAAGTTAGAAAATGAGATAGACTGTAAAACTATTTCGTCTTATCATGGGATCGCTCATCAGTGGACATATATAAACCTACCAGGGATAGGTAAATCAGTGTGAATTCAAAGGTTGAATACATGATAGGAACTTGAATAAAACAAGAGAAACAGCTGGCGCATAACAATTTGGATTCAATTTTATTTCTTAGGTTCTTATAGGCTCTCTGTAACTATATTAATGTTTAAATATGACAGAATAATGGATGGTGTTTATTGAAAAAAGTAGACTATATACTAATCAATTTAGAAACTTACTTACTTACTTACTTACTTACGCCTGTTACCCCTCGTCGAGGAGCATAGGCCGCTCACCAGCATTCTCCATCCAACTCTGTCCTGAGCCTTCCTTTCCAGTTCTTTACAGTTACTATTCAGCCTTTTCATATCGGCTTCTATTTCCCGGCGTAGTGTGTTCTTTGGCCTTCCTCTTTTCCGCTTCCCTTCCGGATTCCAAGTTAGGGCTTGCCTCGTGATGGAATTTGGTGATTTCTTCAATGTATATCCGATCCACTTCCAACGTCTTTTTCTAATTTCCTCTTCAGCTGGAACCTGCTGGTTTGTCCTCTCCCATAAAACGCTGTTGCTGATAGTATCCGGCCAGTGGATGTTGAGTATTTTGCGTAGACAATTGTTTATAAATACTTGTACCTTTCTGATGATGGTCGTAGTAGTTCTCCACGTTTCAGCTCCATACAGTAGGACTGTCTTGACGTTCGTATTAAAGATTCTGACCTTGAAATTGGTTGAGAGTTGTTTTGAGTTCCATATGTTCTTCAATTGTAGAAATGCTGCCCTTGCTTTGCCAATCCTCGCCTTTACATCTGCATCCGATCCCCCTTGTTTATCAACGATGCTCCCCAGGTACTTGAATGTTTCCACCTCTTCCAGAGTTTCGCCGTCAAGTGTGATTGGGTCGGTGTTCTCCGTGTTGCATTTGAGAATCTTGCTTTTTCCTTTGTGAATGTGGAGGCCTATCGATGCGGAGGCTGTTGCTACATTTGCTGTCTTCATCTGCATTTGGTCGTGTGTATGAGAGAGGAGGGCTAGGTCATCTGCGAAGTCCAAATCATCTAATTGATTCTGAGAAGTCCATTGTATTCCGTATTTCCCTTCAGATGTCGAATTCGTCATAATCCAGTCAATCACTAGAAGGAAGAGAAATGGGGAGAGTAGACAGCCTTGTCTGACTCCGGTCCTTACTGGAAATGCATCTGTCAGCTATCCTCCATGCATGACTTTGCACTGTAATCCATCGTATGAGTTTTGGATAATGTTGACAATCTTTTCAGGAACTCCATAGTGTCGAAGAAGTTTCCATAATGATCTCCTGTCCACGCTGTCAAACGCCTTCTCATAGTCAATAAAGTTGACGTATAGTGATGAGTTCCACTCAACTGATTGTTCGACGATGATCCGTAGTGTCGCAATCTGGTCTGTGCACGACCGATCCTTACGGAATCCAGCCTGATGATCCCTTAGTTCGGCGTCTACTGCGTCTTTCATCCGATTCAGCAGCACTCTGTTGAAAACTTTCCCTGGTACTGATAACAAACTGATACCTCTGTAGTTCTCACATAGGCTCAGATCTCCTTTCTTTGGTATCTTGATGAGATATCCTTCTTTCCAGTCCGTTGGCACTTGTCCCTCTTCCCAAATCTTCTTGAATAGAAGGTGAAGCATATTTGCAGTTATTTCAATGTCTGACTTCATTGCTTCTGCTGGTATATTGTCAGGTCCTGCCGCCTTCCCACTTTTGATTTGTCTGATGGCCATCTTGACTTCTTCGATCGTTGGTGGAGTGACATCTATTGGAAGGTCAGTGTGGGCTGCTTCGATGTTCGGTGGATTCAATGGGGCTGGTAATTTAGAAACCGAATGCCTAATTAAATAATGTTACTAGAAATAACGAAATTAAAACAAATAAATAGGTAATGATCACATAAACCGCAATATATCATATATTTGTTTTTAATCAACAGATGTATATATTTTAGTCTAACAATCGAAATGCATTCTAGGATCTAGTTTTCATTGTCATGATAGTACTGTGTTAAGAAACAAACATTGAAATGATCTTAGACTAAGAAATAAAAAGGATAATTATAAATGGGATAAAGTGTTAAGTGTAAGACCTAAAGATTTATTTCTCTCCTTAATTATGACCATGAATTCAACTGAAGTATTTTGAACTCATAGTATCTCAAAAATTGATCCTTAATTTTTTCAAGATAAAATGAACAATACTTTAAGCCGATGTTTATGTTTATTTATATAAGGAATGATTGAATAGAATATTTCATCACTCGTAGTTAATTAATTAAGAAATACTGTGGTGAACAAGAAAACAAGTGGTGACAATCGAATGTATTTGCACATAGAATTACAGAACATCTTAGCAAAATCTGATAATCATACCGTAAATACATAATTTGCAAAATGTCAATCTGATGTGTGGGCGAGAATGATAATGATTGGTTGTTTTGCTGAGTGAGACATGTGGTTTGTGTGATAGGTGTTATATATTCCCCTATCCTTATTATTATTATTATTATTATTATTATTATTATTAATTGGCTGTTCCTTATTGTTGGATTGTGTCGGATTTTGGTGTGGAAATATATTGACGTTCTAGTCAGGATGATTTCGTGCTCTTGATCTGAGTTGTGTTGAATTCCTGTAGAATAGACACTGGGTGGGAATCTAGTGTAGATATTCGTCTAAGGTAAATTAACGTCCCACATATGTGTAAACAATGAAAGGACTTTTATAACAAGAAACCCTAGAGTTATAAAAAAATATTCTACTTTTATAACACAATCAATTGTCTCAAACTTTAATGTTCCTTTGCAAATGTCAATTAATCGTCTCAAAATTCATTGTTCCTTCATTACCATATCAACTACTTTCTGTTCTAGTTCTTTCCTTCTAGATATTTTCGACCTTCTAGTACCAGACATTTTATTCTTGACTAGCTTTACATACTACTTATGTCAATATAAGTAGCACACATCACAATACGACAGTGAAATGTAATATTCAGTACTTTTCCGATAAGAACAGTTGAAGTGATAAATGTTGTTTGCTTGTATGAATGAATAAAAAAATGTGCAAATCATGTCTATGACTTGATTTATGCGAAGAAAATTCGGGTGTCGATTCTATTTCCGACATGATAAATTATCTATATTATTGAAATTATCTCTTATGTAATAAACATAATGAAGTACGACTAATCCATCTTTTTTCCAGAAAATATGAAATATTTAAAGTGACATATAGTTTACGCTATGTAGATGTTATTCTAATGATGATATCACAGGATTAAAAATTCACACTTGACCATCTAAGTAATAAATTAGGTACATTAATTTTGACGTAAACTTGATCCAATTTAAAGGTTATTCAACAAAAAATTCATAAAACTAATCATTTGATTTTTTTAAACAGTTTCTAAGGTAAATTGTACATAATTAATAACATTAAAATAAGTTGACAATATGAATTATATATAGTTGAAATCATGAGTCAATTGAAGCTAGACCACTATGGAAAACCTGGAAGTACTATTGTCCTATTGTGGGACTCCTCAGCAGCGCGCATATAAGATCCCGACTAGTGAGATTCGAACCCAGGTTCTATCAGTCTCATGAGCAAGCGTTTAACCACTAGACCACTGAGCCAGCCGGCATTAAACGGTGTTAATGTCTAACTTCAACCAATCTACGA